TAAAAATTTACTTAAAGAGTAAAAGGTATTTGGTGCAAATTTTGAGATCTAATAAAGCTTCAGATGTAGTGATTTTGATACAGATTTGTGCTGCATTTTGTTCAGCAGAAACAATGAATTTGATCTTTTTTTTTTTTTTTTTCCCCAGCAATTCTCAAATTTAAAAATTCTATAAAAATACTTTTACTTTTCAGTTCTCTTCAAAAATGTTGTGGAGAAAAAAGTACAGATAACTGCTCTCATATGTAGTGGAGTAAAAGTAAAAAGTATCTGTATTAAGTATTAAGTACAGTAATTTATTAGTTTTATTTTGTCACGTTCCACTACTGATTATGTGGTAGAACGTCACGTAACAAAATGTAATCCCCAAATTCAACCCCCTCCTGACAAACAATTGCTTCTAACTAATGAGTTGATTCTGTGTGCCTGAGTACACGCTCAGTGGGAACATTCTCTGTCTGATGAAGGAACATGATGCTCCGATCCTTTCGTCTAAAAGAGCTGTCACTGACTCTGCCCCCAGCTGCGAGGCACACTGCCCCATCTGGACCTGAGGGTGATTAAGATACCCTATCCCGAGCTTGGAGGGCGCTGTGTGAGTCAGCCTCTACCGGGAACCATCTCCACACCTCCTCCTCCTCCGCACGAGGCTTTGTTGGGACTTGGCTCTCAACCATGTCAGTTTAAAGCCAGCGCCCCGCAGTCTGGACCATGGCAACCCCTTGAAGACTGGACGTTTCACTGGCCCATTCCACTGCACATGCTTTTCCCATGATGCTCCTTGGTGTTTGGGCTCTGGCCGTGCTCCAAGATAAGCCACCACAGTATTTGGCACCATCAGAAGTCTGTTCGGAGGGCTTAGCGACTGTTGCTGCTATTGTGAACTGCACCTGTGTTGACCAAAAAAATGTACATAGGATTCAAACATTGTCCGATTGTTTGATTTGACATGGGAGTGAACTGTGTTTGGGCGAAAGAAAGGACAGGAAAGGAAAGAAAGGAGTTATGGATGTGGGTTTACAGTGACATACAACATTATGTAACTTTGTTTGATGGAAATTCTGGTGATACTTAAAGGTCACATATTACACTGTTTTCTGATTTGTGTAATAATGTAGTTTCCTCATCAAAAACATGGACCTGAAGTTCATCACTACCCCCCCAGTGGCTGAAATATGTCGCTATATTGAGTCTATAATATGACCAATACAAATATTTACTTTAAAAAATGTATTAACATTTTAAATATGTCAATAAAATAAAAGGATTGTATGAAATAAACATGAATCCTAGTCTGAACCAGGTCTAAATTGGTTTTAACCAGGACTAAACCAGGATTAATCCTGGACTTGAGAGAGAGGGAGAACCCAGAGCCTGTGGAGCAGGGTGTCTGCAAAGCGCGATCGGGTGGTGGCAGCTCCAGTTCTTTCTTCCACAGTCACCCGATGGTAAATGTGGGTGCACCTCCGGGCCTGTCCGGACACTCAGTCCTGGTTAAATTCTGGTTTAGCCATGGTTCAGTCCTGGTTCAGTTCTGGTCCCTCATGTTTCAGGTCACTATAAGACAGTACTGCAGATATCATGAGTCTATGCAGGTTGTTTTCATCATTGCCAGTCGCTCCGGTTTGACATTTAAGTTGTAGCTATTTTGTATTTGTTATTTTTTTATATCTCATGTTGGGAGAAGTGGGTGGACGGCGTACCCCCGCGTACCACGCCCACTACACCCCTGATCATGTTGCGCTGTGTAGCTTGGCTTTATGGGAGGCTTATGAACATTACTGTTGTGTGTGTAATAGCACTATAACTGTTCTGTGTAATGTCTCAGAATAGTTACAATGCACAGCAGTGTGGACAGTAAAGCGATAATTTCATTGTACAGGGCAAAGCGTTTCCTTACTGTGCACATGGCAATATGCACTTTAAATCTCGAATCTAGTGCCCTCTGCTTTATTAAACCCAGTAGGACGTCATCTCTTTTTCTAATCTGGCCTGACTGAAGGAAGCCAATTTTGTCAGATTTTCCACTTTATGGGTGTTTGCTACTCGAGCATGGATTTATGCTGGCAGGGACTAGATGTTGAGCAATGCTGTAAACAACATGGGACAAAACTACAAATTAAAGTACTGAAAAGAATGCTTTGAAATATTGAATGAAAATGACGTATTTTGAGGTTGCACAATGTTTTATCCTGAAAAATGTTTACATCTTTAAGTATGCATATCTTGGAGCATTTCATTTTCTTTTACTCCATTCATTTTGTTGCCAGATGTGTTTATGGATACAACAAAGTGTACAGTACAATACAATACATAGACACAATTTCTATGTTGTAGGCCAAAGAAGACAAACAAATGTTTCCTCCAACATTTCTATGGTTGGGGTGTTACAGTAACCAAACTATCATGATACCGTATCATCAAAAGCCTCTCAATAATATCGTGGTCCATCACAATATATCAAATCACAAGTTTCTTTGCTTAAATTCATTGTTATGGTGCAGCAACTGCTAAAAAGCAGAGCAAACTACATGATCCTTTGCTCCGTTTTGGTGCAAACTACATGAAGAAATAGCAGTTCTAAGCACTTTTAAATCTTAGATCTTTCAATTAAGTCTTGTCAAGGCATTTTAAGAGGAAAAAGTAGCGTATTCACAATTTTGTCAGCCTCCACAAAATATCACAATAAATATCGTACTGTGAGATTTGGATATTGTTACATTTCTATAATAAACATAATATTTTTTCACTTGCACTATTTCTGTCATCTCTGTTCAGATATAGCAGAGTTAGAGCTGTATTTTTTCCCCTGTATCTGTGAAAGCGTGCACTATCAACGCACTCGTGTGTATTGTATTGTGTTCTATTTTATTGCATAATGTCCCTATCTGTAGACTTCTGTCCATGCACACAAAAACGGCTTTATAAGTCAGCTCCTCGGATTAAAGCATTGGTGGTGATTCTTTGGTAACCACACTGCACCAAATTAAGCTATTACACAGCGCATTGCAATGGATTTTGGGTAAATTTCCTTATGAATGAAACCCAGTAGGTAGTAGCCCATTTAAAACAAAAGTGGGTTACAAAGAGAGCGCTCCTGTCTCCTCCTCCAGGGGTGGGCATCCAACATCAATCAATACAGAGCCATTGGGCTGTCTGCCATTGACAGAGTCTCATCCTGCTGCCGGGGAATGCTGTGTGCTAATAGTGTCTGTTTGAAAATCACTGCACTTTTATAGACTGTCAGTGGTACCGGATGTGCTGCTGCTACATGTTTTCATTTTGTTCCATGGTAAAGAGACTGGGGATGCAGATAGCTGTGGGCTTGTGTTGTGGAAGTGACAGGGACAGTCTGGATGCGATGTGGGTGGGGGAGGATGGAAGAAATGCTTATGAGCTTCAGTGGTCATGATATAATGGCTTGGGACTAGGAAATGTGCAGCTCTTACTATTGGAGGCAAGGCACAACTGGAAATCCTTGGAATATTTTAAGTGTAGTTTTCATTTGAAGATGCACCGTGTACCTTTTCTGGAGAAGAGTCAATCATGTGTGCTTTACTCCATTTTAACATTTTATATACGTACAGAAGTAGGGGTGTAACGATATCCAAGTCTCACGATATGATATCGTCAGGATATACATCTCACGGTACGATATTTATTGTGGTATCATGGGAAAGCTCACAAATAGGGATGTAACAATATCCAAATCTCTCGGTACGATATTTTCACGATATACATCTCAAGGTAATATATTTCTTGTGATAATTTGTAGAGGCTAACAGAATTGTTAATATGCTACTTTTTCCTCTTAAAATGCCTTGACAAGACTTAATCCAAAGAACTAACACATAAAAGTGCTTAGAACTGTTATTTCTTCATGTAGTCTGCACTGAAATGGAGCAAAGGATCATGGTCTGTGTAGTTCCCTCTGGCTATTGCTGCACCATAACTCTTAATTTAAGTAAAGAGACTTATAATTTGATATATTGTGATGATTCATGATATTATTGTGAGAACTTTGACGATACAATATCATGATATTTTGGTCATTGTAACGTCCCTATAAAGAAGACACCAAAAATAGAAAAAAGATGTATGAAATTTTGTCAAGCCAAAAATGTAAAAAAAATATATATTGTACATTAAAATCCTGAAAGTATCCACCCTTTTTTTTTGTCAAAAAAATCTATTTTAACTACATAATTCTGTATATCATGCTTCATATATTTGATATCTTTCTTCTGAAGAGAAAAAAAACATTGAATAGATGAGAAGGTGTGTCCAAGGTGTGTTTGATGTGATGCTTAAACATACACTACCAATGTTTAAACATACACTACTGTCAAAAGTTTGGACACACCTTATCATTCAGTGTCTGATCACTTGGAATAAAGTGTAACATATTATGGCATTAAAATGATCTCTCTGGAGACAAGCAGGTCCCAAGGCCAAATGAGCCCAGTAAGAGCTCACAGTAAGTTTTTTAGCACCTTTTTTAGCACCTTTTTAACACCTTTAATTGACCAGATGCTAGATACACAAGTTAAATGTCATACCGTGGAACATTTCCAGGTGAAGCAATAATATCTTCATGGGGACAAGCAGGTGGTGCTCCCTCTACCAGAAAATGTACATAGAGCTCCTTTAGGATTGACCGGCGGAGATTGGCCTACATATGGTTAAAGCAGAAAGATAAACAGGAAGTGGCTATTTCCAGACACGTTCTCCCAGTTTTGACCAAAGTGGACATTTTGAGGTCCAGCCAACATTCTGTTATAGCAGCGGTTTCTTTTTCTTGTACCCCAAAACGTCTGCTAATTATAGAGCTTTGGTTAAACTATTGTGAATGCATTCATGTGAAACAACCAACCGTAGAAGTCTAAACGGGGAACCCTATTTTGGTTGAAACTGTTCTGAAGTGGTGGTTGGTCTGGGTTCATTACTTAAACAAATACCACAGTGCAGTTTATTAAATAGTGTTTTCTTTTTTTTTTTAGATCTGTCGAAGAACCGTCTGTGCGAGCTGCCTGAGGAGCTGTGTCAGTTCATATCGCTGGAGACTCTGAGCCTGTACCACAATGGGATGCGTTCACTGTCCTCCAACCTGGCAAACCTGCAGGCCCTCACCTACCTCAACCTCAGGTACAACCTCAAAAAACACATTTTACTTGTTACCAGCTAAGGTTGTCAATCATTAGGGCTGGGTATCATGAAGAAGTTGCCGATACATACCTCAATACATAGGCCACAATACAATACATATCTCGATACAGTGCACTTTCAATTGGATACAATATATTTCAAAATGATTCGTTAATTAAATAATAATGGCTAAATCATGGCAGTGATACTGAAGTCTTTGTTAACCCACAAAGTGAATATGAACCATGAACATTTTAATCATCAAAACTGTGTCAAATGTGTCGCATAAATGAGTTCCCTACCTCTGAACAAGCAAGGAAACTGTAGCACTGTAACAAAATAATTGAATAAAATATACCAAAAAATACTCTTGGCAATATATCGATACAGCAATCCACGATATCGATAATGTATTATAACATTAAACAATACGATATATCGATATTTTGATATTTTTACACTCCCCTATCAGTCATTTGTGTGGGTGTTTTTAATTGGGTCTATAGACAATTCTCTCATGCGGATTAGAGCAGAAATCAGGCTTTGGGGGAAGAACTATTGTGTAAAAAAATTATTAATCTTTTCTTTTTGTGTTAAAGAAGACGTATTGATCTTGAGTCTTCTGTATAGTTATAATCTGTGACACTGGTGAATCATTATGTTATGATTTGGACATAACAATATTGATCTAAAACAACTTAATAAAAGGAACAAGTTCGCAGAAAATTGCGGTGCCAATGGGAACTGACGTCTCTTAACCTCATCACAACAAAGACCTGTGCAAAAAATTTTCTTTAAGTGGGACTGTGCAAAAATAGCAACGCAGAGCTGCCTGAATCCTGAGTGTATCACAGTTTTAAAGAAACACAACAGGAGAACTAAGTAAGTACAGAGCAGTGGGCGTATCCCGGTGTATACTTTGAGACTGTAAATGAGAAGGGGAAACAACTATAGCACAATTAAAAGCTCAAATAAGTTAATTTCGCAAAATAGGTCTGCTGAATATATACTGAAAGCCATTTTTATTTGCCAAACAAATAGTAATAATAATAATACAGATTCAAAAATTGTGCTTGATCAATGAAGTACCACCAACCCGTACCACCAACTACAGTATTTGGGTCAGATATAGAGAATCAATCTTACACTGCATATGAAATGTGAAAATGTGTCTTATCACAGTTGTCACGAATCACTGCTCATTGTGATCATTCGAATCTTGGAGTGAGACAAACTGTTCCAGTGATGTCTCACACAACAACAGAGCTGTCACATGAGGCCCACTTTTGTCTTTTAATTGCTGTATTTCAGTGAAACAGGGGAGGCTTTAACCATGCAGCATAAAAACATTACTCTACTTAGCTGCTACTGTTATCTTTAGCTCATTCTTTCTTGATATGATTGTTCAGAGATGCTGTATCACACAGTTATATTTATTACACTGTGAAATGAATGTTTACTTGAAATTGACACTTTATTAATCTAGCAAGGAATGATATAAACAAGATTCAGCAGTGGCTCTAGTGCAGGGGTCTCCAATCTTTTATCCTTTGGTGAGCTACTTCTACAAACCAAAAGTGGCAGATAGCTTTTCCTTTTAGGTGTTGTACGAAATTGAGCCGATATAAAGGTAACCACTACCTGTAGATGAGGTGTATTTAGATGCCTACAAACAAAAACCATGAATTAATATATCAGTGCACAATATTAGACATTTACTACGATAACAGACATGTGATTAATCAGTGTAATATGTTTAACTCCTAGATCCTTTAAGCTTCCATCCTGAGCTACAGGTTGGAGTCCCCTGCTCTAGTGCAAGCTTCAGGGTGGAGAAGATTGTGTACCGTAATTTCCGGACTATAAGCCGCTAATTTCTTCTCACACTTTGAACCCTGCAGCTAATAAAACAATGCAGCGAATATATGGACAGATTCTTTGTTTGGTACATTGTCCATTCATATATACAGTCTATGGTTTGGCAACACAGCGGATGTGTGCAGCCTAAGTGCAGAAAAAGCTGCTTTCTGTCCGGTTAACTCATAGAACATGAAGGTGCAGCGTTTGTTAGCGATGTTATCAGTGCACTAAAACAGTTTATCGCCGTGTGATAAAGAAACGTGTGAGAAGAAACATCTCAAACTTCAGTAGCCAGACATCCACTCATACCTGATTGACACAACTAGCCCCGCCCCCGGGAGAGCCTGAAATCTGCTGAAATCCTCCAAGACTCTGACATGATACAGACAGGACAGCGGCTCTTGCAGGAGACATGCACAGTAGAGCGTGGGGAGAGGCGGTGGTGATGCGCCAAGGAAGAGTCTAGTTTGATTGTGTTTTGAACAGTTATTTTGTGCTTCATACACACACCCTCTTCATGGAAAAACACAGGAAGACATGCAGATGATGCAGCTTTTAAGTTAAAGACAATTGATATGGCTGTCGATGAAGGAAATAAAGCTTCTGCACGTGAGCTCGGCATCAATGAGTCGATAGTGAGACGTTGGAGATGGCAGCATGATGAACTGACTCAAAGCAAAAAGACAACAAAAGCTTTTAGAGGCGATAAAAGCAGACGGCCCAAACTTAAAAACGTTCCTGAAGACGTGGACACCTGCGGCTTATATTCAGATGCCGGCTATATGTGTACTAGAGGTGTGTAAAAATATAAAAATCTATGTATTGTATCGTTTAATGTGATGATACAGTATTGATATCGTGCGCTGCTGTATCGATATATTGCCAAGAGTAGTTTTTGGTATATTTTGCAAAATTTTTTTTTTTACAACGCTGCAGTTGTGTTGTTTGTTTTGAGGAAGGAAACTCTTTTATGTGACACATTTGACTTTTTGAGTAAAATGGGCGTATTTCATATTAACTTTGCACAAGAAGTAGTTTAAAAAAGACTTTAATATCACAGCCATGATTTAGCCTTTATTTTTTATCGAACTGTATTGAATTGCTTTGAAATATATCATATTGAATCGAAAGTGCACTGTATCGAGACATGTATCGTATTGTGGCCTGTGAATCGTATCGGCAACTTCTTAATGATACCCAGCCCTAATGTGTACACTGTTAAAATGTAGTTAAAATTTTGTTGATGCGGCTTATATTCAGGTGCGCTCAATAGTCCGGAATTTACGGTATTAATTGAAATTAACTTAATGTTTATTGGTAAGTTGGAAACTCTAAAGCCAAAGAGCTCGCTGTTATGCTGCTCTTGTAATTTGCCTTGATTGTCAAAAACAAAGAGAAAAGGTTTTAACATTTTAACATTCTTGCATAACCTGGATTTAGCTGGAATACCAATGCCTTGATCCAATCTAGGTGGAACCAGCCCGCAAAAACATCGTCCATCATTCTACTTTGTTTAAAACTCGCCCAGATCTATGAGAAAATGTTTGACTTTCTTGATTGACAAAACTTTATACTGCGCACGTAAAAGCCCTCATTTCCAGGTCCATTCTGTCCCGGCTGTTTGAAAGTTAAACCCTAGTGTTTGCTCAAAGCCTGGAAATCTATCTGAGCTGTCCAAATCTTCCTTCCAGTACAGTGCCATACCAACAGTTCCCATCCCACACACTGTAATAGTACTGTTGCTAGGAGACCGCAAACCCTCCAGCTGGCTGCTAAGACACGTAGCAAAAGTGTGGCCTCTGTGCAAATATACAGCGCATGATATTATTACTGTATATCCTGGAAATATGGGGTCCTCAGACGTTTCACTGGATAATTACATTAAACTAAAAATAGCTTACTTCTGACTAGTGCGAGTACAAAACCAGATAAAACCAGGACAATATCACCTGTAAACAACAGGGAGGTAACAATAACAGAAATATCGTGATATCGTATCGTCAAAGGTCTCTCAGTAATTATATCGTGGACATCACAATATATCGAATTACAGGTCTCTTTGCTTAAATTTGAGTTTAGTTTAAAACTAATTGGAACTAAAATAGCTTACATTTGACTAAAAATCAAAATAGACTGCGTACAAAACAAGATAAAACCAGGACAACATCACCTGTAAACAATAGGGAGGTAACAATAACAGAAATATTGTCATATCGTATCGTCAAAGTTCTCACAATAATATCGTGGACCATCACAATATATCAAAGTCTCTTTTCTTAAATTTTAGTTTAGTTTAAAACAAAATTTATCAAAAATAGCTTACATTTGATATAGAAATCAAAATAGTATGAGTACAAAACATGATAAAACCAGCACAATTTCACCTGTAAACAATAGGGATGTAACAATAACACAAATATCGTGATATCGTATCATCAAAGTTCTCACAATTGTGGGCCATCACAATATATCAAATTACAAGTCTCTTTGCTTAAATTAAGAGTTATGGTGCAGCTATAGCTAAAAAATACAGATAGAACTACATAGACCATGATTCTTTGCTCCATTTCAGTGCAGACCACATGAATGAATAAGTGTTATAAGCACTTTTAAATCATATAAAGTGAAATATCGCAACAAATATCGTACCGTGAGATTAGTGGTGTGCAAAAATATCGAAATATCAATATATCGTATAATTTAATGTGATGATACAGAATCGATATTGTGGGCTGCTGTATCGACATATCGCCAAGAGTATTTTTTTGGTATATTTTACTAAATTATTATGTTGAAGTGCTACAGTTTTGTTGTTTGGTCAGAGGAAGGAAACTTGTTTATGCAACACATTTGACATTTTACTGTTTTGATGAGTAAAATGGGTGTTTTTTCATGTTCACTTTGCACAAAATGTGGTTTAACAAAAACTTTTAGGGTCACAGCCATGAAATTAGAAATTATTTTTTATTGAACTGTACTGAATCGATTTGAAATATATCATATCAAACCAAAAGTGCACTGTATCGAGATAGGTATCGTATCTGCAACTTCTTAATGATACTTAATGAAAATATTGAGAGATTTGGATATTTTTACATCCCTAGTAAACAACAATACACGTTTGCACTGAGATCATTTTATTAAATGTTCCACAGCATTCTGACCGAGTGGCTGAACCAGTGTTGTCAGATGGAAGGTTTTCCCACGGAATTGGGTGTTTTTTGTAAGAGCTGCCTCGGGTGAGAAGTATTGTGTGGTTTGACAAGTAAAACGTTTTGATTTTGGAATAATCGTAATGATTGTTCTGAATTTTCGTGACAGATTTTCATAACCAAAGCCGTCAATGTTCTGTGAAACTTCTATTTGTGCGTGTTAGAGGGGAAGAGCACTAAATTTAACACAAAATACAGTGTAAAATACAAACACGGTGTACATTATGCGGGTTTTGGGTGATTTTTCAGAAGAAGCTGTGTCGCTGAAGCCTGAGCAAAACTATGAGTCAAGAGACAAAGTGTGTTTCTTTGCTTTTTTTTCTGTCTTATTTTTTTCACGGAGCTATCGTTTTCGCCCATAGACTTTATAAAAATATATACGATCCATGTTTTTCGTCACATGGACTCAGAAGCTTGTTATTTAAGGGAAGAATGTGTCATTTCAGCTGTATCTGATCCCAAAGTCTGCATCAGTGATAAATGTGTATGTTCTCTGCAGTGTCCCTGTTGTTTAGCTCACTGGTTTTCTACTTCTGTTTATTTTATTTTCTTAATTTTAAGTTTCAGATGTCACGTACAAAGTAAATATTTAGCAGAGTTGTATAGAGTTTTATGTTTACTATGACATTGTACCAGCTGCTTCACATTTTAGACATGTTTTGAGCTCTTACGGGAGAAAATGACACTCATATACCTTTGCTACTCACTCTTAGAAATTCTACACAAGAACTAAACCAGGTCTAAACCAGGACTACATCAAAAGTAAACCAAAACTAAACCAGGACCAAACAGGAGTGACATAAAGACAGACGTTGTAAACCAGTTTTTAAGCAGATCTACACAACAGCTAATCCAAGACTCCACTATATACATACACAATTTGCAAACCAGAGATACGTGTACTTAAATTAATTGTCTTTTGTGTCCTCAGTCGAAACCTCCTGTCCAGCCTGCCCCTGTCGGTGTTCCAGCTGCCCCTCCTGAGAGTTCTCATCGTCAGTAACAACAAGCTGTCCACGCTGCCTGCCTCCATATACGCGCTCACACACCTCCGCCAGCTGGTAAGCACATACACCCACACAGAGCAACGAGGTACAAGGCTTCTCAGGAGTATGAAAAACTGCAATTCCAAAGTAGTATTATTACATTTATCAAGAAGGTGATAGTTTTGTTTATTTTGGTTAGTTATTACAAAGATTGAATTCCAAATAACTCCATTACGACAGGTCATTGCAAGATAAGTTTTGCACTTCCCATACGCTTGTACTTATTTTCACTGTGACTTATAAGATATTACTATTAGTTAAAAAATGCACTATGTAACCAGAGATGTTACTGCTTTGCCTAGAATGTTCCTCAGTGCAGCATTAAACTTTCTTGCCTTTAATCTAAGGCTGTGCAATTAATTGAACTTTGATTGCGATTTTGATTTGTGTGTCAAACGATCTCCAAACTCACATAATCGAGCTGAAATGAGCTTAACAGAGTTTTTTGGGGGATTTTTAAAAATATAAATAAGTATATTTATCTGATTTTTATGTTTTTCTATGCCTTTCTATGCCTTAGAATAAGTAACTTTATTTCAGTTTTATTTATTATCCGAGTCTGAACAATGTTTTATTTTGAAAAATGACCGAATTCTCTCTGTTCCACCTGTCTATGACTCACTCTTGATACATCTCAAGATGCTTGTGTCGGTCACATGACGCTAATATTAAACCCACAAGCTGCAAAAGGAGTAAAAAACAGACGTCTTTGGAAACGTTTGAACAAAATACCACAGTTTTTGTGTTGGTCCTATCATTTTATTTTGTTGTATTTATCTGCCCAACCTTAAAGGCCTTAAAATCCTTTAAAATATTGTCTGACATTAACCCGGTCCGTGGCACAAAAAAAATTGGGGACTGCTGCTCTAAAGTACTTTTTTGTTTTCCAATTTGAAACTTTTGCGTAAATTATCTATAACAAAGTTTTTCTTTGTTTGTTTTGTTTTTTGAGAGAGAGAAATGCTGAATAAATCGTGTAACTAAAAAATAATCGTTTGAATAATTGTGATTTCAATCTTGAGCTAAATAATTGTGATAATGATTTTTTCCATAATCAAGCAGCCCTACTTTAATCTATTTGGTTTGATTTTATTGCTAGAAAATACTTGACATGCATTCTTACTGTGAGTGACTGGCTGGGGGGTGTTTTCTTGTTGGTTGTTTCCATGGAGATAGAGGTTTGTTTAATGCCATCCTGTGGAAAATTTGCAGGCGAAACGAAAACATCTCCATGGAGACAAGTTGGTGCTAGACTTTCCACCAGAAAAATACATACACAGTGGACTTTTTAATATTAGCAAATGTCTGATTAAATAAAAAGAAGAAAACATCCCTGTAAATTGTTTGTAATTAATGTCACCACAAGCCTTTGCCCTTTCCATATTCTCAAAAGGTCTCATTGCGGTTTAACACTGCTGTTGTTGTGCTGTCTTGGTAACGCTCTGATACTCTGTAGAAATGACACTTTGCACTCCGGCGTCAACTGTCAAGTAGTAAGGATTTGTATGATTGTATTTCAAAGCAGTCATGTCAATTTTTTTTCTTAAATTGGTAGTTCGACACAGTGAACATGCTCGCTGTTCTGCGATCTTGTGGATCTCCAGATGGTAGGGACTGTGCAACTAATAGAATTTTAATCGAGATCAAGATTCAGTCATTTCTAATCGTCAGAAGTCAGCTTGGGACTTTTTGATCTCTGTTGGTAAAAGCTTGTGGTTTGGAGAAGAATTCAGTCATATTTTTTATGTTCTGAAAATTAACATTGAAAAATTTTGTTTGCCTAAATATCAAATTGAAAATCAAGCTCAATCGTTATGGTGTTTAAAAAAAAAAAATCATGATTCATTTTTTGTCCTATAGCACCAGTCCCCAAATGGTACCAGGCTGTGGGTCGTTTGGTACCGGGCCGCAAAAGCACGAACCCCTCCTTCCCCTTTCATACGCATCTCTAAACCAGGACTAAACCAGAACTAATCCAGAACTAAAACCAGAACTATAACCAGGTTTAAACCTATGATTAAACCAGGACTAAAACCAGGACTAAAACCAGGACTAAAACCAGGACTAAAACCAGGACTAAAACCAGGACTAAAACCAGGACTGAAACCAGGACTGAAACCAGGATTGAAACCAGGACTGAAACCAAGTCTAAAACCAGGTCTAAAACCAGGTCTAAAACCAGGTCTAAAACCAGGTCTAAAACCAGGTCTAAAACCAGGTCTAAAACCAGGTCTAAAACCAGGTCTAAAACCAAGACTAAAACTATGTCTAAACCAGGTCTAAACCAGGACTAAACCAGGTCTAAACCAGGACTAAACCAGGACTAAACCGGGACTAAAACGGGACTAAAACGGGACAAAACTGGACTAAACTGGGACTAAACCATGCCGCACGGACCGCACACTGCTCCTTCTCACTCCGAGCGCATTTTCAGACATAAGACCACAAAAAAGTTTGGGGACCACTGCTACAGCACATGGAGTTACATTTCTGTCGCTTTTCTCCCACAGGATGTGAGCTGTAATGAGCTGCAGAGTTTGCCTCCAGAGCTCGGGCAGTTGGAAAGTCTGCGCGACCTGAACCTGAGGAGGAACCAGCTCACCTCGCTGCCTGAAGGTACACACCGCCCCAGCAAAGAGAGAAAAAAACTTTAAGGACAACTTAAGCAGTGATTTATGCAGCAGAAGATTGTTTTGTGTACCTCAGCTGTCAGTTAGGATAAGAGCCTGGAGCATTTAAGTGGTATTGATTTGCTATTAAAAACAAAGTGCATATTCAGAAGCACTTCCGATATATTGAGTTAAAAGCCTAAAGGTTGGTTCTCTATATAAAAGGACAGTGCAGAAGTGGACGAGTATCAGGACAAGTTGTGCAGTGATGTCACGACTACAAAACAATTTCATTAGAAGTAAATTACTCACTAAGCCTGTCACGATCATAATAATAACTTATCGCTGGGACAGAATATATTGAGGCTCCGTATTTATCATGGGTACTTTTTCTTTGCAGTAGTAGGGAGTTGTTTTTTTTTGCCATTTTTTTTTTAGTTTTTTTGAGGTTTGAGATGTACAGGGTAGGATAAGTTACTTTTATGGCTAATTATTGGCTCGTTCTGCCATTTATTTTTTGCAGTTTAGACTTTTTAATAATACTGTCTATTTAAAAATTGGTTTACTCATACTAGAGTTTCAATATTATCATTTATGGCAAGCTTCAAGGTTCGTTATCGTGACAGGCCCATTACTGACAAGCCTACTGTTTGAGTTTATAGAAACTGTAACACTAATTTTACTTCAGCCAGAGGTGAAGTCTTCTGTGTTGTCACCATACTAAAATTTCAAACAATTTTTTTATGAATACTTACAGGAAAAATACTTTATATAATAATATAATATTATATAATAAGGAGAAATACTTGATACCAGTTTCACTAAGACAATGACAATGAAAAATCAACAGTAGTTACTTAAATATTTCTGTCTCATACTATTTCTTATATATATATAAAGACCACCAGCAGTATTGATACTAGTTTTAATATCAATTAGTATCTCATTCTTGATTCTTTTGACAGACCTACTGCATAACAAGTAAACTTCATTACTAAATATTAATGCTAATTTAAGGTCAATTTACTGTCAAATTACTAGCTAGTGTTCACTTTTAGGTCAAAAACTAGTCTTGTTCATTTGAAAATTAAATATTTTGGATGTTTGCTTCATAGTTTTAAACATCTTTTGTTTTTACTGCAGAAATCTCCGAGCTCCCTCTTGTCCGCCTCGATGTTTCCTGTAACCGTATTTCCCATGTTCCTGTGTGCTACCGGCACCTGCGGCACCTCCAGAGCATCTCCCTGGACAACAACCCACTCATCATGCCCCCCGCACAGATCTGTTCCAAAGGCAAATACCACATCTTCAAGTACCTCAACATGGAGGCCTGCAAGAGGAGCACAGACGAGCTGGAGAGGCACCTCCGGCCCACCGGCTTCAACAGCTGGTATGTTTCACACTGGAATTTATCACACTTAGAGGATATGTTGAGCTGCTGTTGTCCCATTAGAGGCGGGCAGAATATCATAATATGGATAATAATATGAAGATATGCAAAATTTGAGTATTGAGTGTACTGTTTTAATAAAATACTACAAAAAGTAAATAGAAAAATAGAAAAAAGGTGTATACTTCCAAACAAGGGTAGAAAGAAGTGATGTCTCTGCACTTTTGTCTGATACTTAAACCTCAACTAATACATTAAAGATGTGTTTAGCACAAATTAGACTGACATAATATCATCTGAATATCATTATTCTGCTCCAGAAATATCAAAATTTGAATTTGAGCTTCTATCCAAATCCAAATCAACTTTATTTCTATAGCACATTTTACAAATAAAGTAGTTTCTGAAGTGCTGCACAGGGAACATAAATGAAGACAACAAAAAGGTGAATTGCTAAAATTTGGTTACACCAGTCCTAAAACAATCAAACCAGTAAAATCAAAATAAAATAAAAAATAACATAAAAATCATAAAATAGCTGTAAATAAATAAAATAAATAAAAGACACAGAGGTCCACACAACTCATGCAGTGTTAAAAGCCAGAGAATAAAAGTGGGGACAAGACAAGATTTAAAACACTTCACTGTGGGACTGTTTGGACGTTGGGGGGCAGAGTGTTCCAAAGTTTGGAGCCGGTCACAGAGAAAGCCCTGTCCCCCCTGGTTTTAAGTCTCGTTTTAAGCACCACGAGCTGGAGCTGGCACTCGGACCTCAGAAAGCGCATGCTAAAACAAACTATGCATAGATAATACAAATTTTTGCCTAACAAAGAATAAAATACAGTTAAAACCTGTTTAATCACTGTAGTTTCTATGTGCTATATCCTTTCCAAGATTTGTTAGAGTTGTTATGCACACTGCACAGGGGCTAAGTTGAAACTCCCAATGTTTGTCCTAAAGCATACCAAACCAAGGTCAGAGATAACTCAGTATTTGTGAAACCCACAGTAGCCTAATAGCCCACCGCTGTGTACCCAAGGTGAGTGTGTACATATCTATAATGTTACTGTACTTGTTCCCTGCAGTCTGTCGGAGCAGGAGCTGTTCACTGGTCAGTTTGGAGGGCTGGACTCAGGTTTCAACAGTGTGGACAGTGGCAGTAAGCGCTGGTCTGGGAATGAGGTAAGACTCTACAGTATACTCATCCATACTATATAGGTCATGTGTTGCAGAGCTAATGTGCACTGTAACAGAAGCATAGCTATGACCTTGGTTGTGGATATAGGTTTAATGTAATCCCGTAGGACGGCGGTGGTGGTGTTTAACTATATTGTGTGGCTTTAATCTGTCGAATAAAATACAAAGTTTGTCATATCTGCAATAATCTTTATCTAAATCATTACTTAAAATCAAATGCTAATAGAATCAAATTACTTAAAACATAAATAATTTCAAACTACCGTATTTTTTGGTCGCACCAGCCAAAAAATGCGTAATGAAGAAGAAAAAAACATATAAGTTGCACTTTTTGGTGCAAATTTATTTTATAAAATCAGAAACCAGGAACCAACATGTCATCTTGAAAGGCAAGTTATAACAATGACAATAGAACAGAGAACAACAGGCTGTAAATGCCACATATGAACAGTTCTTCAGATAACTATAGCATAAACAACAGAACAGAACAAGTTTAACAACCTCCATCTCACTCCAAATCACAAAATCCATTGAATTCTTCATCCTCTGTGTCACTTCTGAGCAACTCCGCGACCTCCAGACGTAAACAGAGCGCCCCTTCTTCTTCTGCGTAGCTGTCATCAGACTCAGCATCAGTTCCAGTTAGAATTATTCCGGCCTTTCTCAATCCCGACATTATGGTTTCAATTGTCACTGAAGTCCAGGCTTTATTGATTCATCATGACTTCCAGGAAAGTTGCATGGTGCACCCGGTTGTGAAGCTGTGTCCTCGCTCACTCCGAACTTTCTTTCTGCTGCTCAATTACCGTTTTCGGCTGAATATTTCACTACTTGCAGAAGGACAGCGGCTTTTTCTGCAGGAGACATGCGCAGTAGAGCCAAGTGACAGTGGTACAGAAGTAATAGTAGTAGCAGATACTGACACACAAGCCTAGAGACTCTCACAGCTGTCAGTGTGAAAATTTTAATATATAAGTCGCAGGACCCACCCAAACCATGAAAAAAGTGTGACTTATAGTCCGAAAAATACGGTATTTCATTTCTGCAGAATTGTCAAATGTTCTTTCTAATCTTAGACCGGTGTGCACTAGGGTTGTGCCCTTGAAATCTGAGCTGGATTTTCAGTACCACAGAAGTGTTGTGGTCACACTGACTGACCTCTTGCAAATTCCAAAATTTAACTGTATAATTATCCATGTTTTTGTTCCCTGTCTTTCAAATTTGAGCAAAAAGTAACTATGCGAGTTTAGTAGGAAGAGATGAAGAGCACTGAGCTGTATCCATGGAAACTTGGAGCTGTGAGCTTGTGCTTCCCCAGCAGAAGAAACCCCGTCTGTGCTCTCCTATAGTTATTCTCAGTGTGTTAGGCTCACTGCTCAGTGTAAGGGAAATGTGTCCACTGTCCTGACATGTCCCCAACCGCAACGGTCAGCTCAAAGCAATCGCACTAATGAGGCGAAGACATGGGAAAGGCTCGGGGCCTGGCTAATTCCTGAAGAGGCTTGGGACCTAACAAAACACCTCATAAACCTCAGACAAGCTTCTCTTTTACACTGTTGGTTTTTTTGCGTTGGACTCAGATGTATGGAGCTATTGTGTATTTTGACAGAAAGCGCATTCAAAATGTTCCAAATGCCTAAAGGGTTGGGGCAATTGTAAAGAATGTTAGATTCCAAATAATTATATTAAAACACTGAATTAGAGGCACTGTACTTCCTGAAAATTAAACTAGTTTCGGGCAATACATATAAGACTAATATAAACCCAATCTTTACCTTGCAAGAAAGGGAATAATAGCTGTACATTTTGAAAATCATGTTCAAAATAAACAATTTTGTCAAAATCATTACAGAATATGGTAAAAATCCAAAATAGCCAGTATGAGCTCAGAGGTGCAGCCCCGTTTATCAAAAAGAAAATCAGAACAAATGTTATGAAATTTTGTAAATCTGTTAAAGGGCTGGATCTCTGGAACAAATGTACAAAAGACCTAAAATTGTGCACCACTCTCTTCCATTTTATAAAAAAAAGTTTAAATGTTTAACTTTGGACAGATACATGAATTATGATACTCAGTTTGTGCTGTAGTACTTTGTTGTACTGTTACTGATTTTTTCTTTGTTTCCTTTTGCTGTATTTATATGAACTGGTGTCAAGGCAAGGCAAGGCAAGGCAAGTTTATTTGTATAGCACAATTCATACACAAAGTAATTCAAAGTGCTTTACAGAATAAGAAATACATTAAAATCATAATAAAAACAAATCAAAACATAAATAATCATGAAGATTAAAATAAAAAAAGAGAGACATGAATTGGAGAGAAGAGTGCGGAATGAAAATCAAGATGACGCTCTGGCAAAGGAATAAAATGTAGGCATAATAAGCTCAAGCTTCAGCCTACACCTTTTCAGTCAGTGTATGTTAAATATGACTGTGGAATAATGTCGGAATAAACATGTGACTGAAATAAATTAATCAGTCAATCAATCAGTCAGTCAGACATTTTGGAGCAGTTCAGTATTATTATTAGCATCCTACTTATTCACAGTGATGAGTTTATAAGCGCTTTTCAACACTTTCTAAGGCCAGATGCATGCTAACTGTGCAACAGCGTTACTTTCTGGTTTGTGGAGGATAAAACAGCTTTACAAATAGATGCAGATAGCTCACAGTTCTCTCATTTTGACCATCAGAGATACTTTTACAATATAAAAGATACAGTTCTCGCAGAAAACCTTAATTCCTTGGATGGTGCTCCCCAAGCTATTCAAGATTTGACTTTAATGTGACATTTATTTTAACCAATGTAGCTTTGAAATATTCCAGATCATATTGTTACCCCTTAAGAACTCAGTATTTATATATGCTTTTGTCCTATCCTACATGCATTTATTAGCGTTGACTGAAAATAGCATAGTCTCCTCCCTCTATCCGCCCACACAAAGAAAGGTGAAGCATCCTCCTCCTCCGATGAATCGATGCAGAGTTGAGTGGGAATCGATGTGAGATCTGGTCCATAAGCAGAATAGACTGTAACTGTGAAATCAATCAGGCCTGCTTCCTTCCTCCCATGTGGACTGTGAGTTATGGTTCCTCGTGTTGTCTCAGTCTGCAGATGACTTCTCCGAGCGCTCCCTCCGACTGGCCGAGGTCAGCAGAGAAACGCGCAACCTGGAGGAGGAGGAGGAAGAAGAGGACGTGGCCCATATACAGTCCACCAAAGGTAAGATATCAGATCAACAAACATAATCATACTTACATTGTTCAAACCACTGGGAAAGACAACATTGGTTTATTTCACCGAGTTGTCATACAGCAAGTTATTGGTTTATTATCTCTCTGGGGTCTCCAACCTGTAGCTCTCCAACCCTTTCCAAATTGTGAATTGTTGAATTTTGATGCCTAAGTTTGTGCAGTAATAAATGTTTTCTGTTTTATAAACACCCAACTGTACCCCATTTAAGGCTGTGGCTCTTTTCTGTATGTATTAAATTTCTTGTGACCTCTAAAATGAGTAGTTCTCTGGTATTTTTGTTTTGTAAAGGTAGCTCACTGGAAGAAAAAGGTTGGAGAATCCAGGTCTAGTGCATCTAGTAGTAACATATACATGGTGTCCATGTTAGCCCTACTTTAAAAGCAGTGTATGTAGTAAAAAAGGTACTACAATCACTACTGAACCATGGTTTCTAATACCTTAACGTGCAGATCGAGGACATAACATTTATTCCTCATGCCTCATTTGAAAGCTCAGAACTTCCAGAATTCACTCACTAGAATAATAATTTGGCTGCAGGTGCTGTGGTTTTGGTTGTTAGAATTCAGATCAGAAATTATATTTGTTTGCATAAATATTTAGACATAATTTAGAATTGGAGAACCACTCGTCTAACAGATAGTTCATCAAAATTTCTCTTAGCTGCAGTGTACACAGACTAGAATATTAATAAATCCTTCATATATTTTTCATGTTGCGCATCTATACAATTGTCCAGAGATGTACTGTAGACGTATAGATTACTTACAACAAGATTTCTTATTTCTTATTTATTTATTTGTAAAGGGACAGCACATATTAATGCACATTTAAGATTATAGTCAGCGTGGCTAATTTCCATCTTTAGTCCCTCAGCAGGTTGATGTGAAATCATCTACAGGACAGGGAAACGTACAGCAAAAATCACACAAAAGCACATAACACCAGCACACTCACTATACATACAATTTATTTCAAACAGTTCATTTGAAGTTTGAAGTCAAGAGTTAAAGAGTTAAACCATCAACCTCTCAATATAAAAAAATATAATTTGGTTAAACATGGTGACAAAATGGAATAGATAATCTTAGAAACCGTATTTAACATTAATATTTAACTTCAAAGCCCCAAATGAATGGAACAACTTGCCCTCCTCTGTCTGATCAATCACATCGATCCACCTGTTTAAGGCGTCAGTCTTCAGATACTTACACACATCCTGCTCCTGTTTTCAATAGAAATACATTTTTGTTCTATGTACTTTCTCTTTTACATAGAGTTGCTTTTCTTCTTCACTAATTTACAAATATAGGTGTGATGATGATAAAATCAGAGAGATGTATATCTTTGGATCCTGTATTGTATAGTATGAATATTGTCTTTGTTTTTTGGTCTGTTTTGTTGTTTTTGTTTTTTTCTTTTCTGTAAACGCTATTTTTTGTTAATATATTTAGGACCCCAAGGGGCTTCCCTTATAAATAAATAAAGTATATTCTGATCCAAAAAGCAGTACTATTCTGCTATAGATTAGACAAAAGAGCAAACACAACACATTTTTATCTTCACGTGACCATTGACCAGTTCAAATCAATTGGCCTTAAATAACAAACTCAAGCTTCAGAAGCGAGTGTGTAACATAAGAAGAAAAACTGCACTATACTACATTCTATAATAAATCTTCATTGTGATCCCGCTCTTTGTCCCAGTGAATGGAGACGTGGAGCAGGTGGACTTCATCGACAGCAGTGTGACGGAGGAGGAAGAGGAGGAGATGAGGACGGACGCCCCCACACCCCCCCTCACCACACCTCTCCTGGTATTCACTCATTAGCAGCCTTTTCTCTCTACACACCTCTGACCAGGGACTTATCGATGTGAATATTGATTTTCCAGGAGCTGAAGGAAAGATGTGGAGCCCCTCAGAGCAACGAGTCCTCAACAACACGCAGGTCAGTCCAGAGTCCAGAGATGACACGGTTTATGTACACATTGGTTGGTGTGTGTTGGTACGATGGAAAGGCGAGGGTCGTTTTAGAGCTCGCTGTTGTCTAATGCTCAAGTCTGATGTGTTGATATTAGACTTTATTAGATTTTTTTCTGTGCTTTATTTTAACACAATTTGACCAGAAAGAACTGACTTAGCTGGAACTCCAACATAATGTGTAGAATAAATATGACAATTTTGACTCTTTTACGTCTAAAATTATTCATTCATCTGCTTATTAGCAAGTTCCCAAGACTCTTAATTATAGAAATACTTTAGTTTAGTATATTCACATACAGACTTTCATAGTTTTGATCACTGAGATAAAAAATACAGTGGAATGACAAGAGTACACGCTACTTTTTAAAGGGCACTTTTTTTTTCTGAGCTGTTATAATATTTCCTCATCACAAACACACCTGGAGTTGTGTTTTGTTTCATTCACACATGTTTAACACATACTCTGAGTTCTTCTACTCAAACAGAACACAGTCTGTAAAAAAGGAAGTGCTCCATTGTATTTTTAAACTTCATACACTTTCACTAGTATCATTGCAACAGAGTATTTTTAGTTTTGAAGATGTAGACAGAAGCCTGGTTCATCAGCTAATTTCACTTCGTGGAAACTGTCTGACCTCGCAGCATAAGCAGGTACTTTTTTTATTTAACCAGTCGCTGCTATTTGGTCGTGACTAGGCCTGTAACGATGATCAATAAATCAGTTAATTGTACGATAACTTTTAACAAGCTCGATAACTTTTCTGGCCGCGATAAATTCTATTTGCATGCTTGTTTGTTTTCCTCGTCTCTCTCTCTCTACCAAAGAGACTGAATGTCAAAAAGCTTATATCGCTCTCTTAATACGAACACTTCAAGACCAAAATGATGAGGCTCACAGCAGTAGCCAGAGAGAGGGGCCACAATATTCCAGTGCAAGTCAATGACTAAAATCACTTTTAAGGACGATTTTGTTACAGAGATTTAATAATCCATTTATTTATTGTTTTGGTTGTGTTTGGTTCAACAATGGTTCACTCAAGTGCATTTTTGTTAACAAGTCTTTGCTGTAAACCAGACGCATTAGGCTATTCTTATGTTAACAAGTCTATTATATTTAGGCCTATTGCTTTTGGTTGTCCTGCAGATCCTGTGTTAAATGTTCTTTAGAAAGTAAAGTTTATTGATGTTTGAGAGGGTGTATTTGCATTTTTATTCCATGGCCATTATATGAGTTGAAAATGGTCTCAAAACGTCAATATTGTTTTAAATTGTTTAATATTGTTTATCACAATAAATTCTTGGTCAATTAATCGTCCAGCAAAATCTGTTATCGTTACAGGCCTAGTCCTGACGTATGTAATGCGCCAAATCCTGTAGGAAGAAGGGCAATAACGTCTTTCCCCTTGATAAAATTCACCAAACACTGTCTTTGTTCCGGCTTTAAATACTCAATCTCGGACTTTGTCTACATCCATCTCAACCGCTTTGTTTACTGTTGTGCTGTGCCACGCCACAAAAGGGACCCAGAGAGACGCTTGAGTTTGACGTCATGGCTTCACAGCTTTTTGATGATTGGCTGGTGAGCGGTCTACAACTTTCGGGGTTCTTCCGAACTGTCTAGTGTATTCTGATTCCTGACCTAGTCACTGGAGAGAAATTAAATTGAGTGGAGATGTATGTAGACAGACTAATAATAAAGGATTACTCAAACATGTGAATGAAACAACACACAGATCCAGGTATGTTTTGATGAGGTAACAACATTTTAATATGGCTTAAAGCTCACAGTACTCAATTTTGTGCAATATAGGATCGTTAACTGTAAAATTATTTGTATGTGATATATTTCTTTGTTCTGTTTACTCAAATATCTGCAAGTATCTACAAGTAGAACAGATCAGTTATCAAAACAAGTAGTACTAGTTGAAATCCCCAAACTAATTTCCCCAGGGCCGTTACTATGGTGCGGTGTGTTTTTCAGGTAAAGTCTCATGTGCTGTTTCTGAGTCGAGTCCAGCCGTCTTTGTGTACAGGATGTGAGCTCATATATCCAACCAATAAGTAACTTGTGATGTCTCCCCACTATTAGGTAGCTGTCAGTCAGAGAGCATACATTAGCCTAAGTGTGCATACAGACTGTCACAGATGGAGATAAAGGCTTTCAGTGGTTTATCATTTTCTCTGACTTCCTTCCGCTCTCCACAAGGTCACTTCACTGTCTGTTTGAGGAGCTGGGAAAAGTCAACACTCCACAGTTCCCATAACTTCCACTCATTTAGTTGTGTCTTACTCAGAGCCTCTGGGCCACGTGACGCTGTCCACCTGCAGAAAGAAATCCTGTTGCAAATCTGGGACAGTTGTAGATGATGTAAAGAGACGTGTGGTTTGAAACACTGCTGTTGTTACCGTATCACTGTGGGAAGTTACTTTTGTGGCTGTTCAGAGTTCAGGTCAATGCAGAAGCAGGAAGTTTTAATTTCTGAGAATGTCCTTTACTAGTATTACTAGATAGACGGGATGTAACAATAACCAAAATATCGTGAGATTGTATCGTCAGAAGTCTCACAATAATATCGTGGGCTGTCACAATATATCGAATTACAAGTTCCTTTGCTTAAATGCATGGTTTTATAGGAGCAACAGCCAATAAACATAGGGAACTACATATCCCATGATTCATTTCAGTGCAGACAAAATGAAGAAATATGTTTTTTAATTGAAATCTAGGGATTATGATGGAAATAATTCACACCAGAATCTTATCAAGGTATTGTAAAAGTAAAAAGTATCCTACCTACAATAATATCAGCCTCTCCAAAATATCGCAATAAATATCGTACCGTGAGATGCATATCGTGAAAATACTGTATTGAGAGATTTTGATATGGTTACATCCCTGCTAGAAAAGTTTACTGTGGAGAGGGTATTAAACTATTTTTTATTTCAACTCATACTATTACAATTACTACAATACATAATACAATAACACTTTATAATAATCCAGGTTAATTAGAATTATAAAGCTTTAAGAAAGGCTTAATTTATAATGAACAAATATTTGATTTAAAACAAGTCAGGCTTTCTTAATAACCTAGCCCTGACTCCTAATCCTAACCTCTTAATTATGTACTTACTAAGCCTGAATGAGTTAATAAAAGTCCTACATTACACAAGTGAGAATTAAGCCGTGTAATAATGTGGTTACCTCATCAAAAACAAACCTGGAGTCGTGTTTTGTTTCATTCACACATGCTTGAGTAATCCTTTTTTATTAGTCTGTCCACATCACCAAAGCACAAAATGTTCTGTCTCACCTTGTAATGTCATGAAGTGGTAATTTTAAAGTTAACATCTGCCTTTTACTTTTTGTTTAGTAGAGACTGGTATTTCCAGCGCTGAAACTATCCAAATTATTTGAGTGAAGATGTATTAACTTAACACAGTGGAGCACTTCCTAAGCTTAAATATGCAGGGTTTGTGTGTTAAAGGGTTTTTGTGAGTTTAACTAAAACACAACTCTGGGAATGTTTTTGAAAAGGAACCAACATTATAACACAGATCGGAAAATACTGTAATATAAGCCTTTTAAGTCTTCATGCTTTATTAAGATTGTAAATAGCAGAGGTGGGGACTTGCAAGTCGTGACTTGGGCTCGAATCAGACTTGAGTCACTCTTTTTAGGACTTGAGACTTGACTTGATAAAATGGACTAAGACTTGGGACTCGACTTGGACTTGAGAAGACTTGAGAAGCACTTTTAAATCTGAATTCTTTCTGTTCTGACTGTAATGATTCTCTAAAATCTTGTCAAGACATTTAAAAGGAAAAATTAACTAAATTAATTTTTACAACTCTTGTGTACTCTATAAATACTTATATATAAATATACCGTGACTTTTTAAGTACTATTTATCTTAAAACTCATATAAACTGCAAAAATCTAAGTTACTTTGATTTAAAGACTTGAAATGACTTGAAGCTCATAGCAGATGACTTGGGCTATGTTTATATGACGATGGTCTGAACAGAAGACTCAAAAGTGGCATTGTGTCTTCACTTTTTATTCCGCGTTTAGACGAACATTTTCAGGAGGAAATCTGTGTGCATACCGTGACGTAAAAGTGTTTGGACTTCGACTGAGTATGCATCCCGGGCAGCTGATGTTAAGTGGTGATGTATGTGACGTAAACATGTAGGCGATGTGAGCAGATCTGACCAGAGTTTTGCATCTTGGGCAGTGTAGGCAGAAACGCTATGGCGGAGCGTATTCAACTTTTCCACTCTGGAGGGTAGTTTCAGATTTTTGCTTTTTTAAACTCCCAAAACGTCATCACTGTCTAAACGAAAGGCACTTCTGATAAAATATTTTTACCCATGAACGTTCTAGTGTGAACAGGCTTTTGGACTTGACTTGCACTTATGGGCAAGTGACTCAAGACACAACTAGGACTTGCCTGTATTTGACTTGGGACTTGACTCAGACTTCAGGTCAAAGCCTTGAGACTTACTTGAGACTTGCAAAAGAAAGACTTGGTCCCACCTCTGGTAAATACTGTAGTAGGACCATGACTAAGACTTTTAAATCTTCTTCCACAGGTTTGAAATATTTGATAATGTTGTTTAAAATTAAACAGACTCATGCTCAGTGTCTTTATGCAGTCTGTCGTTTAAGGTTCACATATCTGTATAACTCACTGACCGAATAAGAGCATCAAGTTTGTGATTGGCCAAATGTCTGTGAAAACGCTCTACATATAACTGCTTCCTCTGCATATGATATTGCAATCTACAAGCTGCTCTTTGTGAGGTCCACTGTTTATTTACTGAACATATAACCTGAAATTCACATTCAAATGCAGAACATTTTGCAGTAATAAAAAGTAAAAACTCAAAGTACATTTTCTTGGCTTTTCAGTTGCTGGAAGACATGTGGTTGGTAATAATGGTTTCCTGTTTTAACTTCTTAGAACTTGGCAAGTTTGTAGTAATTGTTTTTCAGAACAAGACCTATTTTTACCACAGAGTAAAATAAGTGAAATTTTGGTTTAGTCCTGATTGTTCTGACTTTTCACAGAATACCACTAAATGTAAATTGCTTAAGATTACGTAAGACCACAACATGAGCAGTTTCAATGTGCTGCTGGTTTGTTCAGAAGCAGCAGTAGCCGTGTTGTTGTCAGCGCACCCAGGACAAATGACTAAGCACATCCATATTAACCAAACGCACAGTGAACTATTGAGAAATCGGAGCAGCGGCCTGTCTTCTTCACAGGGGAAGTATGCCTCTGTAAACACACTCAGCGGATGCTCCACGGACAGGCCCCCCGCACTTCCTTTGGGACCTCCACAAATAGGACATACAAACTCCAAATGGGAGCTCTGGATGCAGAGTTTCCAAACACCATTGAATTGATACAAAGGAAATGTGGCACACGAGAAATAGGTCTTTGTCTTGTCCTACTTATCGAAACAATTTGTCAACTTTTTTCTTTTTATCTCTTTACCAGGAAAGCATTATCAGCCGCCCAAATCTTGCAAAATTTTTGAAAAGGGCATAGAAATACTGTACCAGCCTTCTTCAAACATTAAAGTTCTTTCAATATTTTGAGGTCATACACTTAAGATTTTTACAGTTTAAACTTTTGATTCATGAAAGTGTCCACCTTTGGCAGATGTAACAGCTGAACACACTCGTGGCTCGTTCTTTTTACCATAGAAAGCAAATATTCTTCAGAAAGTTCTTCCCAAGTCTGTTGCAGAAGTTCCCATAAATGTGTGGCACTTGTAGGTCGCTTCACTCTTCTGTCCTTGATGGGGTTTAAGTCTGGAGATTGTGCTGGACTCTCCATATTTTCAAGCTTGACATCTTGTTCTTTTTTCCTGAGGCAGTTTTGGCAGAGCTTGGACTTGTGTTTTGTATCTTTTATCTCTTTTTTTAACCTCTGGCTGTTCAGTTCTTACCTTTGTACCATTTTAAGCACTTCATTGAACTTGCACAACTTGAACTGAAATAAATAACTGAAGAGATTAGGGTGTTTTAAAACTTTTGACTGGTAGTGTCTATTATGCAAAATTGCCTCTTCTGAGCCATAAGCCTTAATATTGTTATCTCCTCAAAAACACTCCTGGAGTTGTTTTATTTGAGTGAGCCTTTATTATTACTCCCTATACATCACAAAGCTCAAAATTCTCTGTTCCTACTTTTGATGGACACCATTAAGCTGTAGTTTTCAAGTTAGCAGCTACCTTTTACTTTTAGTTCAGTAGAGATTGACAATTCCAGAGCTGATGATTCTAGTGAAGGTGTTTAGAATTTAAAAACACTGTGGAGCACTTCCTGTATTACCACATGACATCACAAGACGGAAAAGTGTTTGAAGACTGTGAGGAAGAGTGTTTTCTGTTTGCGAAAAGAAAGTAAATACAGGGTTTGTGTGTTAAACATGTGTAAATGAAACAAAACACAACTCCAGATATATTTGTGATGAGGACATTATAACATAGGGCTCTTTAATATTACATTTTTTTTTGTACTAATACTGATTACAGACACAAATCCAAGAAATAATTGCGCATTGTCCCATTAACTAACTTTTCTCATTCTCATTGTCATTGTCTCTCATTTTGTGTACGTTCAGGTCCAGTCTCCACGTGGACACCTGCAGCCCCTCGTCCACGTCTTCGTCCCCCGTCCTATCCCCGTCCAGTCCCACCCTGGAGGAGCGCAGACGTCCAGGAACGCTGCAGATCTGGCAAGAGCGAGAGAGGCAGCAGCAACAGCAGAAAGAGAAGGCCAGGTACACACCCACACAATCTGCACCACAGGAAGTTTGACAGGCCATCTCCCATTATCCATTAGCACGATTTATATAAACAGTTTACAGAAGGATGTATATGTAAAAGTAAATGTGATCTGACTGTGCAGTATAGGTGCTGTAAGTGCAGAGAAAGGAAGTTTGAGCTATTTGAGCTGTGCTTTTCAGGGGCTTTGTGTTGCGTTTCTATACTTTTTTGATAATATTACATTCATTTGTAGATGAATTTTTAGACTAAAATTTACTTCAACTATATTTACAACGTCTCTAACATAAACCCTATCTATTTCAACCCATATTTTAACTTTAAGGCTGCATTCACCACATCAAAATTAGGTCTAAACAAGGACTAAACCCCAAACTAAATCTGAACTAAAGCGAGACTAAACAAAAACTATAACTGTACCAAACCAAGACCACATGCCGACTGAAGGTGTGAACTAGGGGTGTGCAAAAATATTGAAATATCTATATATCGTATCATTTGATGATACAGTATCGATATCATGGGTTGCTGTATCGATATATCGCCAAGACTTATTTTTAGGTGTATTTTACTAAACTATTTTGTGTAAGAGTTACAATTGTGTTGACATTTTCACAGTTTTCAGTTGTTTTTTCAGTATCACAGCCATAATAATTTATCCTTTTTTAGATGTGAGTATATTGAATTGATTTGAAATGCATCGTATTGAATCAAAAGCTCACTGTTTTGAAAAGTTTATCGTATTGTGGCCTATGTACCGAGGTATGTATCGAATCGGCAACTTCTTAATGATACCCAGCCCTTATGTGAACACACCCTACATCATTTTGTTGATCTAATAATTAAGGATTTACATCGTGGGGACAGGGGTGCCGGACTGGGGCGTGAAGGGCCCAGTGCAGGGAGGGGCCCTCACAAAGTTTGTAATGTGCATACTTCATTAGACAACAGGGCCCAGCAAGATGATTTGTACCCAGGGCCAGATTTTTGTCCCCATAAGAGAAGCAGGTCCACACAAATTGAGCGTGTATACAGATTTTAGCCCCCATAATCTGATAAATAATAACTATCCACCAAAATCAGGACTTAACTGGGACTAGACTAAACCTGGAGTAGAATAAGACCAAACAAGGACAAGTCTAAACACCACCAAAATGTACACATCTAAGAAAAAACTATAACATTTTAAACAGGCCACACATGTAGATTCAAGGCTGAGGTCTCCAGATCTTGGCCAAAGGTCGGCAAAGTCAACAAACTTTAAAACAAGGGGCCCATTCAGACCTCACACTCAAATCTTTCTCGGTTTGACTAGAAACGTTTGTGTATTCACTTCAAACTTTCATGCAAATCCGGTATTTATCTTTGACAGTAGATTTTTTCAGAATATAATGCTTAAGGAGAGAATAGTGAATATTGTTTTTACAAAATCAAGATTTGCTAGTTATTTATTTTCACCTTGATTGCGACGTCTCTTTGCATTTGTTCCTGCCACTCAAGAATCGTCGCTCAAAACATGACCCCGCGTGACCTCTATCCAAATCTCAAACGTGCAGCAGCTATTGGGGCCAGGCTCAAATAAAGCCCACGTTGGCGCGAGGGGGGCGATGATTAAACCAATTGGTCACAGATATCACATGACCCGTCCCCGTCTATCCAGCTGCGTGTGTGTCTGCTCTGCCACTGATTCAAATTAAATCAAAACTTTGTCTCACAGTTTGCTGAGGTCGTCCAGCAAGGCAGGAAGTCACGTGACCCCTGCTTCACACACAGGAAGTCTATCAGGGTAAGAAACCACAAACCTCAATGGAGATCATGATAGGAGCTTGGTAATTAATGAAGAATACATGGAAAACAGATTTAGTTATGGAAGGAAGGAAATGGATGAAGCATTTGCATTGTTTCATAGCCTGGTTTCAACTTTAACCCCGCAATGGGTGTTTGTTATTACATGAAAAAGCAAGAAATATTCCCACTAGGGCTAGAATAGAGGACCATTCAAACATAGCTGATCTTCTTTCTGTCATTCATAAAAGAAAACACAGTCTAGTTTAAGTGTAAAAGTGAATAAGTTGTGTTGTGTCTCCCTCTAGTGGCAGTTCACCAGAGAGCAACAGTTCCCAAACAGGTCTGCGCCAAAGATGTGCAGTAAGTGACATTTCTGTTCTGTTAACGTGTCAGATTTTCATTTCGTTTTTTAGAAATTTGTGTCATTTTAATTCTTTGTCTTTTCCAGAGCGCAGAGCAAATGAGAAGTGTGTCACCGTGTCTGCAGCGCTCTACTAGCAGAACAGGTAGGATCACCTTGTGGATGTTTTAAAAAGGACAATTTAATTAATGTCTTTATCTTCAGCTTGCTCTGAGTTATATTTTAATTAATTCATGGGTTTGGGTAATACTGTATTGTCCTGTGTTCAATCCCTACTCACAGTTGTGTACTTACTTTACATTATGTAAAAAATAAACTCTGGTTCATGCAGGGTTCAAAGCATTTTTCAACAATAAAAACATGTAAATAAATGAAATCCACTGCTTTTATGGTGAAATATCACTATGAGCAGGTATGATTTGTCATTTCTGCAGTTTTGAACAGAAAGTCAATGGATCTGTTTCTATTAGTGAGCCGTATTTATATTATGGTTTCATACTAAATACTCAGAAAAAGCATAACATTAGGCCTGTCATGAAACACTATATTGACTTATTATTCAAAATTTAGGAATTATAACTAACATTTTCTTTGTAATAGTGGGACATTTTTGGTTAGTTTTTCTGCAATATGATCACTGGGGTTCATGGAAATCCTGGAAAAGTCATGGAATTTTAGTATCTCTTTCAGTACAGCATTTTGTTAAGTTCTCATTAGGCTATTGTGATTATTTCCTAACACAAATGCGTCTTTTGTTTCAAAGAGACGACAATAAATGCACTGACTGTATTTTGAATGTTAAAAAACTATAATACAAACCCTACGGTGAGTGGAAAGGGTTAACATTTCTTATTTAGCCCTAAAAGTAAGATACATTTTACACATGTAGATGCTGTAAAGTCATGGAAAATTCACTTTAGGTCATGGAAAACTCATGGAAAAGTTTTGAAATGTTCTCAGTGATAAGTGTGGGAACCCTGTGATCAGAATTGAGCATTAGAAGGTTGAATTTTGAACTAAAATTTCACTAATGAATTACTTGAATTTGAATTTTGTTATCTATTTATTTATACAGCTCAACAATATTAACAATACTTTAACAATACTTTTTTGTGAATAATTCTGCTTTATGGTTTGATGTAAATATTATCGTTTATCGTCTATATTTACTAGCCTGCTTAATATAGCTCCTTTAAATGTCACTGTGCTTTTTGCTTATTTTCTGTTTTGTCTTATTTGTTGTTGTAGATGCCCCCTCCTCTCCAAAGACATCCTCTCCGCCCGGTCAGGCTCCCAAACCCAACAGCTTCCTTTTCCGCACCTCATCCCGCAGCACAGTCAAGTCACCAGGTACAACAACGTCACACCTGCTTCTGACCTGTAAACATGGAAATCTGTGACTTTATTAAGATTTTAACAAACAACTGGGCTTCATTTGCAGGGACAACACTCAGCGAATCTGGCCGAAGTGAGTCTCGAATGACCCTGCGCTCACCCAAAGATGACAGACCAGACGTCACACAGATACGCAGGGTAAAAAAAAATAATAGTTAGGATTCTGTAATCTTACTTTGGTTTCAATTTTAAAGGTCCTATAATACGCAAAATTGACTCTTGTGAGATTTAAGCCAAACATAGATCAGAAAAGTGTAGTATGGGCCATTTTAAACTGTGGTTGTGGTCACGATATTTTCTTGTAGGTACTTTCAAAATCCTCCTAGAGAAAGGTTTGTGGAATGCGTTTTATTAAAACCATTCAAATTCCTTCCAACTTTCTAAGAATCACATCTGGGGCTCATTCAGCATATTACAGTATTGCATAGGCCTGAAACAAATTTTGTAAAGAAAGCATTTTTATCTTTTGTTCCTCGTATCTGTTCTTGTCTAGATAACGGAAGTACTTAAATTTGAAAGTGATAATTTACATAATCTCAACAGAACATGTTAACAGCGCTGTCGTTTAGTTAATCAACGTGTCCATGGTGTCTCAGTCAAACAAAATGTGTATTGGTCGACTAATCCTTTTATTTAGAGTTAAAGGATTTGTATCGAACAACAGCAGATAGAACGATGAATGGTTTACTTGGCTGATGATTTGGGAGGTTATCTATCTTTTTACATCTAAATATAGTTTCCTTTTTCCTTTTTTTGTTTTAAATTGTTGTTTTTGCATGAACTTCTGTGCAGTTGTAGTCTTGTGAGTGCAGTTTGGGTTAGATACATGGTCAGATGATAAGAGTTTTGAGTCTTTTAGTCAACTAAACAGTCAACAGGGCATCTCTTTAAACCAAAAAAATTCTCTTTAAATCTCAAAAATTCAAACAATGTACTTGGGTTTCCTGATGGATGAAAATGTGACGTATAAAGCTAAATACCTGTTCCAGATTTTGAGTGCGGCTGCTAGGAAAGCTATAACCAGGAAATGGCTCCACAAGTACCAATGCTGGATGAATGGTTTGAGATTGTTTATGATATTTTTAAGATGAAGAGAATTACTTTTAGCATAAGACTGCAACAAGACAAATTTGAAAGCAAATGGAAACGGTGGATTGAATATATAAATACTGTGAGACTGGACTTTGTTTGACCCATTACTTTTTCTTGCAATTGGCTGTAATAATTATTATTCATTATTATTATTATTTTTCTTTTAATTAATCCATCCTTTGTAAGCATCAGGGCACACCCGCAGGTTGTATTGTTTTTGTCTTTTTCATACAACTTTAAAAAAGAAAAATAAAGAATTACAAAAAAAAAAAAAAACTCGACTACAGCGCCACACGTTAACCACCATTGGAACTTTTTTTTTTTTGTCCAGCATTCGTTCCATCGCTCAACAAACTTCCCACATTGAATTGCCTCTGTTGTTTTTCAGGCTCTTGAGACCCGTTTGAAGATCACTCTCCCTGAAGACCTGGGGGAGGCGCTGTCCAACGGCACTGTGCTCTGTCAGCTCGTCAACCACATCCGGCCCCGATCTGTGTCCATCATCCACATCCCCTCTCCTGCTGTGGTGAGTCCTCCTCCCGGATCATTTGGGGCCTGTCTGTGTAGAGTTTGTATGCACTTGTATTCATCTAAATACCCAAACTCCCCCATAAAAACTTGTATAATCGGCTAATTCTTCAGCTAAGGACTTCTTACTAACATCTTGGACCCTGGGCATAGCTTACATAGAGATTAATTGGACAAAACAATATAAAAGTGAACAAAAGAGCCATGAAACAACTTAATGAACTACTGGGTCACTGTAACATCTATCACACTAGTGTCACACCACGTTTATTTTATAGCGTATTAAAATCTAATGGTTAAACATTGGGCTAACAGAATATCTTTATAGTTTTGTTCAGTTTTATGCCTCCTTCTTTGTAAAAATGTGTCTGTGATGTGTTGGAATCTCATGGGCATAAGTCAAGTTGAGAAACAGATGGATGAGGAGGGGCACACGTCTCCGTTCAAATGAAACGTCCTTGTCATCGGTTCCCCACAGGACAGCACATCACGCATTCACTTTATTTTGTTTTGCAGCCAAAGCTCAGCCCGGCCAAGTGTCGACTGAATGTGGAGAACTTCATCTCTGCATGTCGCAAACTGGGGGTTCCCGAGGTAATCTTTTTTTAATGTGTCCTGTCAGAGTAATTCAACAAATATCCCACAGTAATGCTTTAATAGTAAAGAGATGAACAAACTGCACTAGTGGCAGTTTGATGTACCTGCTCTGCTATTCATATATCATAACTATTTGGGAAGAGTTGATGTCTCCCGGCTCTTCTGACAAACAGTGGCTTGTGCCAGCCATTTTTTCTTCAGTGTTTTAAGCTACAATCTGCAGAAGACTAAAACTGCCATAATATTTGGATATATAGTACTGTAAATAAACATTATAGTTCTCACACATGTATCCACTTAATTATGGCTGATTTAGTCCTCCATAAATATTGTGCTGAAATTGTGTGACACAGCAGACTCATCACAGGATGCCTACACATTTGTTTTGAAATGGTCTAATTATTCTTTCAAATCAAAGTGAATCTGTAAGACACATGTATAAACTTAAAGTGAAATCAGCCCTTGTGCTGGTTAAAAAGACTTTGACTCAGTTTTTTTCCAGGTTAGATTTTCCAGGCCACTTGTAAATAGTGTGTCTAAGATATTTCTGGTTCATTCTTATACTCTTTGTCCTGAAAGGATGATTTGTCCTGACTGTATCGTCCCATTTTTACACAAATCTCTTGACCTTTATAAGTATCATGGCCTGAACAGTGTGTAGGACCCTGTGCTGTTGTGTGTGTGCTTTCTCTGTGGCTTGTGTCTCTAACTCGTCCTGTCTCTCTTGTCCCGTGTCCAGATGGACATGTGTGCGTGCTCTGATGTGCTTCTGTGTAAACTGCCCGCTCTGCTGCGCTGTCTGGGAGCCCTGCTGGCCCTGGACATAAGGGGGTCGGGGGAAGACCTGGTCCCCGCTGGTCCCTTGTCCTCCTCCCAGTCGTCGCTTCTGTCCACAGACTTCCTGCTCTTCTACAGCGCTGCCATGGCGCTGCTCTACGTGCTCTACTGTTACCTGCTCACATAAAGACACTGGCCGTCCTCCATGTGCCCGCATACAGCTGCTGCAGAGGGGGCACCCTGCAGCTCAGCACCTTGTGACAAACAGCAAAACAAAGCTCTTTCTGTAGAATGGAGGTTCTAGCAAACACAAGCACTACACAGAGCACAGGACAGAGATGCCTTAGCCTTTAGCCTTTAGCCTCGCCTTGTCCCTCCGACGGCCGCACAGCATGTTTGAAACAAGAGGAGCAGAGGAGCAGGACAGAGCTGCCCACAGGCACACAGCCCGAGCTTCACTCAGCAGTGATTCGGTATGGACTGTTGCTTTGTACGATGAAATAACACATTTCATTTGTCACTGCAGAAATTGTTATTGTCCATGAACATTGTTTGAATACAGTGATGTTCATGAGTAGACACAGCGAGTCCATTTAAGTGAAGGAGTGTACAGTGGCATGTTGCAGTCGGGAAAGCGCATGTTAATGGGAACAAGTTGCATCCAGAACTTTAGAGAAACAAAGAGCAGGGTATCGAAAGAAATAAGATGATTGTCCAGTGAAATCTTGAATCTCGGCCCGGCCTGCTGTGCCTGAGCAGCTCTGTCTTCTCCAAACCTTCCCTTTAAATATGAAATGTGAATGTGACTTTAGCCTTTACATGAAGCCAGACTTACTGACTGACCACTACACCAACCACGTGAGACAGCAGGTGGCGCTGTTGTCTGCGCCAAACTGACGGTACAAACCCTCTAATTCCAGGAGGTTATGAATTTAGAATTTAGAGTTTGGTCTTTGGAGTTCATTTGGACCAGACCAGTTTCATATTCTTTTGTAAAAATGTAAACATCTTAAATTATTGTTCTTTTCTTTATTTATTTTGTGTTGATCAGTTCTACGATATAGGCTTCGGTAGAATCAGTTAGCTAATCAGCATTAAGCCTTGAGAAAGCATGGAGTGTGCTTAAAATAATGCACACACAGGTCAACCCATAGTGATCAATATTCAATTATACTCAGTTTAAATATCATTGATTGTTGATGTTAGCCTAACATCGGACTGGTAAATCACTGATCCTTGGAGGCTACATCTAACACAAGTGGACTGAGCTTTTTCCACCTTAAATCGATCCCGGTTCAGCAGCTCAGCCTGATTAGAGCTCACTGCACTGGTGGGAGTCCTAACACTAATGCCAACACTACACATCAAAGTCAGACTAGAGGGACCTAGACTCAAGTGAACTTAGCTAATATTTGTGTCACTGGGAGAGCAACGCTGTCTGGTGTTTATAATGTGCAGTTCTAATTATTTTCAGGTACATTTAGGGCGATATGAAAAGAAAAAAATGTTCTAAGTTTTTTTAAGTTGATGTTCATATAATAAGATGCATTTCAATATTAATTTATGTTAGGGGATGTAGCCAGGCTGGCGTCACCTAGTGCCTCCGCTCAATTTCATTTCTTTTCAGCAACTAGGTCAGGAATCGGAATACACTAGACCAGACATGTCCAAACTGTGGCTCATGAGCCAAATGCAGCCCTTAGACAATTTTTTCTTGGCCCTCAGGCTTCCAGGTGAATTGGCCCAAATGACCTTGCATCAATTAAAAATGAACTTTTTACTGCAAGTGTTTTGAAAATCTACCTTGATACAGTTAATATTTAATATTTAGTGTGCTGTTTTAAGGATCTTAGCATGAATAAAGACTGATGGCTCATTCTAATGTGTTAAACATGCACATATTTAAATTACTCACTGTATTCAGCACCAGTCTACGGCCCTCGATCAGCCCTCTGCTTTGTCTGTGTTTAGATATGTGGCCCTTAATGAAAAAAGTTTTCAGCCCTGCACTAGACATATTTGCAAAAATCTTGGAAGTGCGAGTTCGGGCATCAGCAATTCAGCGAAGAGCCATACATTCTGTGCTGGCAAGGATTCCTGAGATCGCGGATTTAAAGCCAGAACAAAGAGAATGTTTGGTGAATTTTATCAAGCGGAAAGACATTATTGCCCTTCTTCCTACAGGATTTGGGAAAAGCTTAATATACCAGTTAACTCCGTTAGCGGCGGATTACATACATCACAACCAAATAGCGATTGGCTATTGGTTAAATTTAAAAAGTACCCACCTACTGTCAAGCAAACGAATCCTAATGCTGTAAGTACAGACGGTTTCTACAAAGTGAGACCAGCTGATGAATCAGGCTAGTTAGGGATGTAAAAATAACCAAAATATTGTGATACTGTATCGTCAAAAGTCTCACAATAACATCATGGACTGTCACAATATATCGAACTACAAGTCTCTACTTAAATTCATTGTTATGGTGCAGCGATATCTAAAAAAAAAAAACAGAGGGAACTACATAGACCATGATCCTTTGGTGTTACCATTGGACACTTATAAATCTTAATTCTTCATATTACAACAGTACCATTATTAACAGTGTCAGTGTTTTTTTAAAGAAGTACCGATAAGCAGCATATTCAGTTTTGTTAGCCTCTATAAATATTGCAATAAATATGATACCGTGAGATCCATATTGTGAAATTTGGATATCGTTACATCCCTAGTTTCCGTAAGACAAACATTACAAACTTTTAATCGTTCAAAACCTCATGCTTTTACTGAGAGCAGACTCCATTAAAATTACTCAATTACTGGCGATAAGAAATGACTGAATCCCTATTAAAATTGCCCAATCCCAGTTGTGATTTCTTAGAAAATGTCTCATATTAATATGGCATTTCTCCAAGTTTTGAAAAAAGTTGACATTTTTAAAGAATTACCAGGAAACCAGAACTAAACTTTCTGTTCAATATTATGACCAGATCGTCTGTCAATCCCAGTGACACAATCCAGCATGTAAACAAAAGCCATTCTGTTCAAATAGCACTATTGTTTTGTAAGATGACTCGCAGATCCTGGGAAATGTAGTCCGTCCATGACACGTCTCAGACACTGTCCACTGTAAAATATACACCCAACGCCTGTTTAAGCTTTTTTAACGAGAGTATCTAGCCTGCTGTTCCGATGAACTTTCTACTGGTTGAATGCAGATGGATATTTTGTAAACTGGAGAAGCACCTACATCAACCCGACCTTGCTATATTCTTTAATACGTTAGTGAAGCAGAAATATTGTTGTACTTTATATTTATATCTTACCTTAAGAATCTTTTTTGAGTTTATATAAATCTATATGGAAGTTTTTTCTCCTTGTTGTAAAGAAATTATTAAAAACTTTGAACATGTGTTTTGTCTGCTTATGCTGCTTATGTGCTTTATGATGATTATAGTGAAGAGGGCATCTGCAGCAGCCTGTGCAAATCCAAAAACATCACTTTATTCAGTTGCAGATTCCCAGAGGTGGGGACTTGAAAGTTGTGACTTGGACTCGACTCGTATTTTTTAGGATTTGGGACTTGACTTGGACTTGAGATGTGTGACTTGAGAAGACTTGAGAAGCACTTTTAAACATAAACATCATGGATTGAGCTGTCAGATCTACTGACCCACAGGTTGGCTGGTGTGATTCCAGCTCCCACAGATGAATGCTGCCGTTGTGTTCATGGGCAAGACACTTATCCCACCTTGCCCCCAGTGTCTGTGTACACTGGTGTATGACTCTGTGCGGTTCCTTGTTGTAAAGCACTTTGAGTGCCTTAAAGGTGGAAAAGCGCTATAGAAAAATTTGACCATTTACCATTTAAATTTGAATTCTTTCTATTCTGACCGTAATGATTCACAGTAAGATCTTGTCAAGGCATTTAAAAAGTAAAAATTAACAGCTCTTGTATACTCTATAAATACTCATACCATGACTTTTAAGTACTATTTAGTTTAAAATTCATATAAATTGCAAAACTCTAAGCTGGTTTAAAGACTTGAAACTTGACTTGAAGCTCAAAGCAGATGACTTGGACTTGGAACTTGACTCGGACTTGAGGTCAAAGACTTGAGACTTACTTGAGACTTGCAAAACAACAACTTGGTCCCACCTCTGCATATTTCTGTTGACCACTAGAGGCCAGCACATTGAAAGTTTTCAGCTGTAGTATCCCTAATACTGTCAATGCGGATTTGTCTAGTACTCTGAATCCTGCCTAGTAACAGTAACAGTGGCACATTTGGCTTACAGGGAAAAAAAATGACATGGTTTATTGTAATAATCGAATAACATGACTCAGTTTGATCACACAATGTTACATAATTTAAATGCACAAATTATAAACCAAATCTGTTGGCTGTTGAATATTTTTATAATGAGTTTTGGCCATGTAATCGCTGCAAAATTGTGTTTTCATCATGTCTAATTGCTGATGTGACAGGCCTGCAGTTCCCCTCTTTGCCCTTTGCTCTGTGCACTAACCTCTCTGTGAATAATAAGTTTTGTAGGACCCTGGATGCCCTGTTTTGGTGCAGGTGAGTACAACGCATCAGTCTCAAAGCTGTAGACGTTTCTATTCAAACGTGAGAAATTTGCTTCAGCCTGCAGCCTCTGTATGCACAACCACTCCTGCCCGGCCCATAGACATTCATGTACACGCATCAATCAAACACACAGTCTATCTAACAATGAGCTGTGTTGTATTCTGTGCATGCCCATGGGATCATCGTGCAATTACTCTTGAAATGATAAATTCATGTGAAAATCCACTATGAAACATTTCTGGTGGGGATTTTGCCATTTGTTTGCTTTGTTTGTCATCCCTAGTGTTCAAGTTGGCTATTGTTTCGATAATTTAGACCTATTTAGACTACCTTTTATTCACTCCTGGTGTTTAAAACTTTCACAGTTACTCCTTTAAAGGGCCAATTTTATGCTATTTTCTGATCTGTTAAAGGCTAATGTTGTTTTCTCATCAAAAACATCAGCTACCTGGAGTTGTTTTGTTTCATTCACACATGTTTAACTCACAAACCCTGCAGATATAGGCTGAGTTCTGCTCTCACACTGAAAGTACTCGGTTCCTCCTTGTGCTTCACTGTGTTTTTAAACCCCATACACCTTCACTAGAATAATTTGGATACTTTCAGCTCTTGAATCGCCAAACTCGACTCAACTAAAGGTAAAAGAGTAGATGTTAACTTGAAAACTACTGCCAGAGGTGGGACCAAGTCTCTGTTTTGCAAGTCTCAAATAAGTCTCAAGTCTTTGACCTCAAGTCCAAGTCAAGTCTCCAGTCACTTTGAGCTTTGAGCTTCAAGTCATTTCAAGTCTTTAAACCAAAGCACCAAATAAAGCTTAGATTTTTGCAATTTATATGAATTTTAAACTAAATTGTACTTAAGTCATGGTGTATTTATATATGAGTATTTATAGAGTATGCAAATGGAATTTAAATGCATTTTTTCCCCGCCTTTTTTTAAATGTGTTGACAAGATCTTAGTGTGAATCATTACAGTCAGAATAGAACAAATTCAGATTTAAAAGTGCTTTTCAAGTCATCTCAAGTCACAGGCCTCAAGTCCAAGTCAAATCCCGAGTCGAGTCCCAATTCTTAGTCCATTTTATCACGTCTCAAGACCTAAAAATAGTGACTCAAGTCTGACTCGAGTCCAAGTCATGACTTGCAAGTGCCCAACTCTGACTACCCCTTCCTGACATCACAAGGTGGAACAGAGCATTTTGAGGTTTGGAGATGTGGACAGATTAATAATAAAGAGTTACTCAAACATGTGTGAATGAAACAAAACACAACTCCAGGTAGCCAGTGTTTCTGATGAGGAACAGATCAGAAAATAGCCTAAAAGAGTAAATGTGTAAGTTTTAAACATCAAATAAATAGATCTAAATTATCGAAACATTAGGCAACACTAGGCCTGACAAACAAAACAAACATATCCCCACCAGAAATGTTACGTAGAAGATAACAACATTCTAACATGACTTAAAGCTCACAAGAGTCAATTTTGTGTAATATAGGACCTTTAAAGTGCTTTCTCTCCAGCAGGGTTCACTTCAGGTTACTTCTGTATTCATAGAGTGACCAGATTTTCAAAATAAAAAACTGGAACACCCCCTGTTTGTGGTGATTGGTAATAATAAAACTGTGAAACGAGTGCGTAATTAAGGAAAATTGTTATGCAGAGACCATTCATGACTAAAATGTGAGTCCAGTATAATCACATTTTCTTTGTGTTTCGGTCATTTTTAAGAAGCTTTTTCTGTATTTTACCAAAACAATTGACACTGTATTCCTCTCTTTATCAGATCAGGTCAAAAATAGGGACATCTGGGACATTTCTTGCATAAAACTTCAACAAATCAATGGTTTTGGATAAATCTGCTGGGACATGAGACACAGGGCTCAAAACTCAAACTGCACTTGCCCATTCATGACTAACATTTAACATTTTCTTTGTGTTTTGGTCATTTTTAAGCAGCTTTTCTTTATTTTACCTAAACAAGTGACAATTTATGCCTCTTTTTACTGTTGACAGGGATCAAATTGGTCAAAAATAGGGACATTTCTTGTATAAAACTGGGACAAATCAGTGGTTTGGATAAATCTGCTGGGGGGCTAGGACTGTCCCGGGTAAATATGGACGTCTGCTCACCCTGCGTTTGCAAAATAACCCAAAAAAACTATTAGATCTATTTTGGCTTGTTGTAATATTTAAGACACAGAGCATAGATGACAGCGTAGTCCTGTTTTTATATTCATGGTTTTGTGCTTGGCATTTTGAGTGCAAACCTTGGCTGCTTTTTGACAGCGGGGGAAGGACACTATACGGCACGCTGCTTTTACACCTCTCCACTTTCATCGCCTTTTTAAGACACATTTGTATGCGTCGCCGGAGTCGTGGCTTACGTCTGAATGAAAGCGCTTCATAACATGCAAAGTTGGGCCCCGGTGCGCTGCTTTACAACTGGTTCCGAGGCGCGGGCTGCTTATTGCAAATCAAAGTGGCACTAAGTCTCATTTAATAGGCTTTTATTTCAGACTGGGAGGAGGCAATAGACACTCCACTTGTGAGCCAGCGTGCGCGTACGAAGTCTGAGAAATAGATTTAACCCTTTAATCGAGAATGGGGAATATTTAGGCAGTGTGAAGGTGTCTGTCCTCCATGTCCTTGTACACTAAAGCAGTCAGGAAATAGTTTTTTGTTGTTGTTGTTGTTGTTGCCTGCAGTGTTTCACAGTATGGCATTAAAAAGTATCCATGGACATTTATTACAAGGCAGATATGTGTGGAGGCAGGCTTGCTCCAGAATTTCAAAATAAAAGACAAGGATATCCAGTTTTTGGTGGCTGGTAATAATAAAATTGTGAAACGAGTGCGTAATTAAGGAAAATTATTACGCAGAGACCATTCATGACTAACACGAGTCAGTATAGTCACATTTTCTTTGTGTTTTGGTCATTTTTAAGCAGCTTTTCTTTATTTTATCTAAATAAGTGACAATTAATGCCTCTCTTTACTGTTGGCAGGGATCACTTGTGAGCCAGCGTGCGCGTACGAAGTCTGAGAAATGGATTTAACCCTTTAATCGAGAATGGGGAATATTTAGGCAGTGTGAAGGCGTCTGTCGTCTTTAATAAAATTGTGAAACGAGTGTGTAATTAAGGAAAATTATTACGCAGAGACCATTCATGTCTAACATGAGTCAGTATAGTCACATTTTCTTTGTGTTTTGGTCATTTTTAAGCAGCTTTTCTGTATTTTACCTAAACAAATGACAATTAATGCCTCTCTTTACTGTTGGCAGGGATCAAATTGGTCAAAAATAGAGACACCTGGGACATTTCTTGTTTAAAACTGGGACAAATTAATGGTTTTGGATAAATCTGGTGGGACAGGGGACACAGGGATCAAAACTGGGACTGACCCGAGTAAATAGAGATATCTGGTCAGTGGTCACTACTGTACGACTATATGCAACATTAAAGGTCCTATATTACGAAAAACTGATTCTTGAGCTTTTAGGCATGTTTTAATGTTGTTGCCTCATCAGAAATATTCACGGAGTTGTGTTTTGCTTCATTCACACATGTTTGAGTAACATTTTATTATTAATCTGTCTGCATCTCTAAAGCACAAAATGCTCTGTTCCACCTTGTGATGCCATGTAGAGGTAAGTTTCAAGTTAACAGCTATGTCTTATCTTTTGTTCAGTAGAGATTGGCAATTTCAGGGTTAAAATCATTCAAATGATTCCAATGAAGGTGTATGGAGTTTAAATACATAGTGTTTTTTTTATTTGAGAGAAGAACAGAAACACAGGATTTGTGTGTTAATCATGTGTGAATAAAACAAAACAAATATCAAGGTGTGTTTTTGATGAGGAAACATTATTATAGAGATCAGAGAACTGTGTAATATGAACAGCCACAGCATGATGCATGTATGTGAGTATGTACTCCATGTGAGTTTCTGCAGTTTTCTGAGCATGTTCCCTCTGTCCCCAGGAGCAGCTGTGCCCCCCCGCGCTGCTGCTGGAGGAGGGTCTGGGCAGAGTGGTTCAGCTGGTGCAGGCTTTGGTGGAGCTCGCTGATGGAATCCAGAGCAAAGCAGAGCCGAGACGAGCCACCTTCACCCTGTGACAGACGGAGACATGATGGCACAGACTGGACTTGTCACCACCAAACACACATTCCTCACTGCCCACTGTATTTTTATAAAGAATGTTTTAATGGCGCACCATGGAGCTCTTCAGGTGGATGTCTGTCTCCTGCTTGTCTCCATGGAAATATTATTGCTTTGTCTGAAATGTTCTACACATAATGCCATTAAGACTTACCTGTATCTTGCATTTAAATAATAATAATAATAATAATAATAATAATAATAATAATAATAATAATAATAAATCACAGGTGTTTTATTGCTCAAAAATGTCTTGGAAAACATTGCATTCTTGCTGTGAGGATGGTCTCCTCTCCACCGATCTGACCTGTAACTTGGCCTGGTGGCATCCCCTATGGACTTCTCTCCTTGGAGAAGGTGGATTCAGTTTAGCAGTGCTGAACTTTCCAGACAAAGTAATAACATTAAGTCCCCCTGAAGAGTTACAGTGCATCTTTAAACAATATCAATGTAATAAAATACTACTTTGCAAGATTTACAGTCTCTTCATTTTGACCAAAATAATGTTTATGATGCAAAATAATTTTAGTCAAGTTTTGAACATATGTGAGCAGAGGAGGGGACTTGCACGTCGTGACTTGGACTCAAGTCAGACTTGAGTCACTATTTTCAGGACTTGAGACTTGACGTGATAAAATGAACTAAAACCTGGGACTCAACTTGGACTTAAAGGTCAGTGACTTGGGACTTGAGAAGTACTTTTATATCTGAATTCTTTCTGTTCTGACCGTAATGATTCACACTAAGAAGACATTTAAAAGAAAAAATAACATTTCTACAACTCTTACATACTCTTTAGAAACTCATATATAAATATACTATGATTTTTTTTAAGTACAATTTATCTTAAAATTCAGATAAATTGAAAAAACATAAGCTATATTTGGTACTTAGGTTTAAAGACTTGAAATGACTTGAAGCTCAAAGCAGACGACTTGGACTTGGACTTACGGGCCAGTGACTCGAGACTTGACTTGGACTTGCGGTCAAAGACTTGAGACTTACTTGAGACTTGCAAAACAATGACTTGGTCCCACCTGTGCTTGTGAGAGACATTTAGATTAGTTTCTCTAAAGACAATAGTGTATTTGCTTCTTTGTTTCTTTGAATAATTAAGTATTATAATAATTCTGCATATTTTGTTTTACCAAATGTAATTACACACACGACTAAATAACTTCTGTGTAGACATCCATTGATTTTTTATTGAGAGCTGTTTTGTTTTGACACTCAAATTTAAATTACAAGAAAATAAGACAACCCTGACTGCCAAGAGATGTTAATAGCTAACCTTTATTTTTTTAATAGCTGACATCCATTTACTTTGAAACACTGGTTGTCACAGAATACATCTTCTCAAACACATTTTCTGCTCCACAGTCCCTCAAAGGTCACAACATCCTGCTCCCTGAGTCCAAACTGAAACTCTCTAATGAACTCTGCATTAATTTGGAGTGAATTTGGTTTGGAGTCAGGTCCATATTAGGAATAGGAATTTATTAACAGACAAAATAGCAAAAATAAAAAAAACAGGATCATGTTAACATGAACATTTTAAGACCAAAATGACAGCAATTACAGTGAGTGGGGTAACAATACTGGAGCCAGGGTCAGAAGAAGCAGAAGTGTTTCCGTGTTCACTGCTCCTTGTTTATTCCTTACGTAGGCCCATATATTTTGTTAATTTTTCATTGAACATTGCCTAATATAAGACTTATTATTTATACTTATCACTTTTGACTCACTATTTTTTGGACTTGAGACATGACTTGATAAAATAGACTAAGATTTGGGACTCGATGTGGACTTGAATCTCAATGATTTGGGAAGACTTGCTATTCTGACTGTAATGATTCACACTAAGATCTTTTTTTTTTTTTTTCAAACTTATTTAATAAGTAGTCTAGTATACTTAATAAAATATTTAAATAAAGACCAAAAGCTGAGTAAAACACACACACACACACACACACAAATAAAATAAATACATTTTAAAATAGAAAATAGAAAAAAACAAACAAACAAACAAAACAAAACGAAAAACAAATACCAGGTCACCTACTCACAATAAACATGTACCAGACTGAAAAGAGAGAGTGAAATAGGAATCAATCAAAGACAAGAATGAAAAACATCATTCTGGAACAGACTCAACAAACTGAAAAAATCGAACCCACGTTTTCTTGAAAATCTTCAGTGACCCCCCAAGAGTCTAAGATCTTGACAAAACATTTAAAAAGGAAAATTTAGCATTTCTACTACTCTTATATAAATACTCGTACATAAAAATACCAGGACTTTTTAAGTACAATTTAGTTTAAATTTCATATAAATTGCAAAAATCTTGACTTGAAGCTCAAAGCAGACGACTTGGACTTGACTTGGACTTATGGGCCAGTGACTCGAGACTTGACTTGGACTTGCCTGTATTTGACTTGGGACTTGACTCAGACTTGAGGCCAAAGACTTGAGACTTACTTGAGACTTTTCTTTAGTTGTATGAATAATAATGCATTTTAGGAAGATTTACATCACCGGTTATCCAAACATATGCCAGTTCCAAATATTAAATTAGAAAAAGTTATGTATGGCTTTGTCCTAAATAATTATCAGAATGATTTAACTATTAACTCCATAATTTTTTTATTCGTAAAAATAGATTCTTCAAGAGTCGACCAAACTTCAATGCTTTTCATAAGGAATAATGTATATTTTTTTTCTTCTCTGAAATGTATGAAACAACATTCTGCGGTGCAATTTACGAGGACTGTTGAGCGACTGAAATTGATGGAAAACACCTAGCTCTATCCCTCCACCTTTTTTTTTTTATTTATTTATTATTTTTTTTACAATTTTATTCTATCTTTTCTTGTATATTTATGATGCTACTCCTGCTTCTTGTAAAAAAAAATAAATAAAAAAAAATAAAAAATTCGTTATTGATCAGGCCTAGCTGTTGGATGTGTCGCCCTCTGGTGCTCGGGTGAGGAACTGCAGCAGGTGGAGGCGCCATGTGGAAGTCTTTTACGGATCCTCTTCGGCGCTCATCTAAACTAGTCTAAATCCTGGTAAGACTAGTCTGCTCTAAATGCGCCAGGACACGGGGCAGATTAACATTTCAGAGGGTTTGGACTTTATTTTTGGTTCTTAAACTAAACTAGCGTTAGCACACACAGCTGGGTCCAATTACGCGCTCGTCTCGTGCTCAGGGAGGCGTTCAATGACAGAAAACCTTTATTTATCTGTTTAAAATGTCTGAAACTGTGGCTGTGAACTGATGTTTCCCAATTTGGATGCTTTTTATGTATAACCCTTGAAAAAAACAAAAAACAGTTGCTATAGAATTGAACAGCTCACAAATAAGTCAATAATTCAGTGAACTGTCATAATTTCTATGGTAAAGTATGATATTAAAACAGTATTAAAGGAAGACCAAAACAGTGATGAGCCGTGATAGAGTTTACCTTGTATAGATTGTACCAGATTTTCATTTCATTTTAGTTGTTGATAACATATGTGTCAGTATAGTCATATTATTTTCTTTGTGTTTTCCGTAATTTTACCTAAACAAAAACCTGAAACAAAAACCTGGACAATTTATGCCTCTCTTCACTGTTTACAGGGATCAAATTGGTCAAAAATTGGGACACTAGGGACATATTTTCTATAAAACTGGGACAAATCTGTGGTTTTGGATAAATCCACTTGGAGAGGGGACACAGGGCTCAAAACTGGGACTGTCCCTGGGAAATAGGGGGGGTCTGCCCTATGTTCCCTTATTTCTAAGATTTCTTTCTTAAGTCAAGTTTTTTATTTTTATACTGCATTTAAAGGGATGATTCAGAGTAATTTCAACCTAGGATCCTTTGCACCATGACCTCTGCATTATATCATTACTACATTACATCTGCTCCCGGATAATAGGTTGGGTGTAATTGATGACCAAATTGGGAGAAACTGGGATAAATTCTGATGTAAATTGATGATGAAGTAAATGTGGGAACATAGGGCCTAATTTTGGAAAGAAGAAAAAAAAACAACTTAGAAATGAGTGAACATAGGACTGAGGAAACAGAGACGCGCTCCAGAAATAGGGACGTCTGGTCACTTTAACCTTGTACCAACATGATGCTGTTTTGTTGTCAGACATGAGCAGACCATGAGGAGCTTTGTGAAAACAGCTCAGACAAAGACGCTGCTCCACAACAAGTTTGTGATGTGTCTGGGAGGATCAGGTGAGAAATGCACAAGGCTGCTACTTTGGACATTTTTCTGAAAGCTAAATAAATAGGATTTGGGTTTAACAATACGTGATATTGGTTGAATATCACTTATTGGTTCTATAATGAAAACTGTTGAATATTATACATTTAGAAAAGGATTCGCTGGGATTATCCAAGTTATTGTGTCAGTTGAATTCATTTGTATTCTTGTGATCTTTTCCTATTTTTCATTTTTAATTGGGAAGAACAAATATTATATAGACAGATTTTTCCAGTTCAATTATAGTATCTTTCCCAACTACTTAAATGGGCTTTTCCTTTTCTCCACATGCACGAAACAAGCATTGTTACCCAATCCAAGACCTTCACAAGTGCTTTTCACTATTATTTATTTTGCACGTATATAACAACAATAAAAAAATAAAATAAAGTAAATGTGGATAGAGGCAAAAAACCCAAAAGGGCTTATATTAATGCCTCCACCGTATGAATACATAAAAAATTTAACATTATCGCTGTGCATATAAAAAAAAAATAATAATAATAATACATTTATACACCATGGATTAAATCCATTTGATTCAAACATGAATTAAAATACAATGAAACATCCACAATTGAATGATTATCAAATATGATCATGAAAGATCAAACATTTCCTCACACTCTTTTTAAACAACCCTTCTGATGTGCCGTCACTAACCAGATGTGAAAAACTGGCTCCACAATTTACAGCCTCTGGATCGTAGCAAAACTGAGCTCTTGATGTGACACATTTTGGAACATGAAAATTACGATTTTGACGAGTTTCGTATCTATGAATCTCTGCATTGGTTTTAAAGTAACATGTGAAATATACCATCTGTGCCTATTTTGGTATGTTAAAAAAGTAAAAATGAAAGACTAACCTATTTAGAAGAACAGGGGAGCTTAAGGGAAACATACAAACACCAATATAGTGTTATGTATGGTAAAATACAATTATTCTCCACAGGAAATTGAAAAGTTAAAAGAAATTTGTTGTAATGGGGTTGATATATTGTGATCTTTTCTGTGTAAATTCTATGTAATTTTATGATTCCAGCGCAGCGGTTGATGTACAAAGACCTTCAGACCGACAACTTTTTGACCCTGTCTAAGCTCAAGTCCAAAGTAAAACCTCAGTCCCTGCACAGCCCACGAGACACACATGAGTCACTGTTTGTGAATGGGAAGTAAACAGCCGTAAACAATCAGTCACCACAATAGGCTCCATTAGAATGCAACACTGTGCCTAGGTAATTAACATGGAAAATAAACCATGGCCTCAAGAGGTAATTAACAAAAGTAAATAGTTCTCCTGTTATTCCGACACGATAGGTTAGTGCAATTTGGATTTAAATGGAACTTGACGCTTGTTTGTGTTTTTGCCTTATTTGCCTGCATGGGGCTGATTCATTTTGGAGTAAATCGTTGTTTTAAATATGTGTCCAGCTTCTTAATTTCTGCCACAGCCGTCACATCAGAAAACATATTTGAACTGTTTGACTTTCTAAGATTAATGTTCATTCATTTGAGAGTGTATAGTAATTATTATTGTGATAACAGCTACACAGACTAATCGCTCAGTAAATGAAAGATGGAACAGTATTTTTTTTGGCTCAGTATTTACTGTGTATTTTGCACTAGTGCGAAAATATTTCTTATTTTTTGTATTATTACATTTTTATTGTAGACTGTTGAATAAGTAGCATAGTATAGTATGGTCTTAAAGGATTTTGTTTAGTTAAGTCAAGTCTTAATTAGTTTGTTTAGGATTATTGTGTCAGTGATACAAAGCAGTTTCAGTATTATCATTGTTTTGTTTTGTTCTGTAGCAATATATCACACTTGAGAATGTATTGTTGTGACAGGTCTGTAGAGTAATGCTGCCCTCTTGTGCCTGCAGGGGGAGCACTCAGGGAGAGCAATGGGTTTGCCTGGGTCTCATGTCCAATGGGACAGACTAAAGAGAGGTGGGACAGTACCACACAGAGCACCACCTGCTGCGCTTCTACTTCTACACGTGTGGACTCTGTGTACATGCAGAACGTCCTGGAGCAGCTCAGAGAGGGGCTCAGACTGAGGCTCAGGCCCGACCTCGTCATCGTCAGCTCCTGTGTGTTGGACATGATGCGGTACACGACTACTGTTGACTTTTACACTACTCTTTCCTGAAAGTACTTTATGTCACTGACACAATAACAGTAATGACAGATAATCCTAGTAAACCAGTTTTAAATACACAGTATCGTCAAAAGGCAGGAGCTGCAACAACATATAAACAGCAGAATGAACCAGTAATTAGCCATAGAAGTTAGTTATTCAACCCTCTACAGCTCAAACATTATTGTATTACAACAAAAATACCCAAAATCGTCCCACTTTTACAAAGAAAATGTACACACGATATGATATGGTAATTACCAGAGGTGGCGTCTTGCAAGTCGTGACTTGGACTCCAGTCAGTCTTGAGTCACTGTTTTTAGGACTTGAGACTTAACTTGATAAACTGGACTCGAATTGGACTTGAAGGTCAAAGACTTGGACTTAACTCGGACTTGAGGCCTGTGACTTGAGAAGCACTTTTAAATCTGAATTCACTCTATGATCTTGTCAGATTCCATTTCTACAACTTACATACTCTATAAATACTCACGTATAAATATGCTATGATTTTTTAAAAAGTACAATTCACCTTAAAATTCACATAAATTGCAAAAATCCAAGCTATATTTGGTACTTTGTTTTAAAGACTTGAAATGACTTGAAGTAAGTAAGTCTTTATTTATATGGGGCTTTTCACAGACATTTTTGTCAGAAAGACACTTTACAGAGCATTATTCAGCATTATATATTCACTCCATACCCTGGTGATGATAAGCTACTATTGTAGCCACAGCTGCCCTGGGGCAGACTGACAGAAGCACAGCTGCCATGCCAATCAGCGCCATCAGTCCATCCGACCACCACCATCACTCACACACACACACACACACACACCACTTTCATACTAGGCAATGTGGGTGCAGTGTCTTGCCTGAGGACCCAACGACAGTTATTCCCACTGGCGCCCCACTGTGGCACCTGATTTAACCAGTGGTCTCGCATCCAAGTACTAACCAGGCCCGGCCTTGCTTAACTTCTGAGATCTGACGGGATCAGTACAAGCCAATATGGCCACATGAACATTGAAACTCAAAGCAGACGACTTGGATTTGACTTGGACTTATGGGGCAGTGACTCGAGACTCGACTTGGACTTGCCTGTGTTTGACTTGGTACTTGACCTGGATTTGAGGTCAAAGACTTGAGACTTACTTGAGACTTGCAAAATGACGACTTAGTCCCACCTCCAGTAATTACTGTCACAGACTTAACTGAGATGTTATTGCTTAAACTGGAATGTTCCACTGCATTGCTTTAAACACATCTTTCTCCATGGAGACAATTCTTAGTAAGAATGCATGTTTATCCAGTTTTTAGCAATAAAAACACCTGTAATAAAATAAATGTAACATAGATAAGTTTAAAGCACAATAACATTTCCTTTGTGGCACTCTAATCAGAAAAGTAGCATACTGCACTTTGAATTACATTTTTACATTTGAATGCTTTTTATGTAGTTCCTTTCCCATTCCTTTTCATTCATCCATCCTTCCTTCCTTTCTTCTTCATGTTTTCTGCCTTGTTAATTATAAAATCAAAGTAATCCCTCAAAAAATCCAATATCAGAGTGTTCAGTCCAACATTGCTCTTGCTCATTTGTGTCTGTCCCCAGAGCAAACATCCGTGTACCGCAGATCAAAGTGTCTGTTTGCATGAGCGTCATGGTAGCGCGGCAGGTCGTGTTCCTGGCGGATTATCTTACTGAGTGCTCTTATTATGATGCAGTCAGAGGAGATAAGGTGGTTAATGCATTGTCCCCTGACTCTGCTCCCCTCACCAGGGCCGCAGCTCCAGTGCCACTCTCCATCTCTTTCACATTAACTCCACCATCACCAGACAGAGCGCGCCCCTGTGAGCCGCCTCTTCCTCATTTGTCTGTTTGTGTTCTTCTGCCCACATTTAATCAGACGAATCCTGGAGAGGCTCACGGAATATTAGAAAATACATCCAACGTGGAAAGTCGATCCATTATTGCTATAGTGAAAAATGACACGGAGACTCTATTGATTATAATATACATGTGTGTGTATTGACGTGTGCAAACTGACAAAGGCCATTGGTATTGTATAACCTTGAATATTAATATTTAAAGACACTCTTTAACTTCTCTGGAGGAGTGTATGACTTAATTTAATCTGTGTACGGGGGGTCTTAAAAGTCTTAAAAAGGTGTTAAATTTCATGTTCCTATATTCAGGCCTTAAAAAGTCTTAAATTATGTTGTCTAAGTCTTATTTTTTTCACAAAGGTCTTAAATTTCATTAGCCTATTTTTTTGTTTACTCAACCAGGCTGCAGTGCAATGTTAAATGGAGGGAGGAGAAAAAAAAACAACGTGAGATTATGTAACGTGAATGAACATCTAATTTGGAGTATGCACAAACAATACTTTGGTTTCTGCCACCAGCAGCAATGAGTAAACAATCAGCACAGTGGAGGAAGACGTTGGATAGATCACAGGGAAGTGTAGGTTTAATCCACAGTTAAAGGTCTTAAAAAAGTCTTAAATTTGGGGTAATCAAGCCTGGGGATACCCAGATATAGATCAGCAGAGTGGTGGTGGGTTTTTTTTTTCGCTGCATTTATTTGTGTGGATTCCTGTGTGAAAATATACAAGACAACCTACTGTGTAAGATTCCAGGTAAAATGTTTACATCTCCATGGAGATAAATGGCATACTCCCATGTGGAAAAGTTGTTTAAAGGGACAGTCCAGCATTTTGGACATAGGACCTCATTTCCTAGTGAGCCAGAGTGTTGGAGACGTGTGGAGACACTTTTTAAAAATATTCCATCCAGTCCTTGTATTTGCAGAGGTCGCTGGTGCTAGACTAGTGCATGTCAATGGCCATAGTTATCCTGCCACTAAAAACAGTCTTACACACTCCACAAAACACCCAAAGAAAATCTGTTATTACACCAGACTGTCGATGTGAATGTCTGTGTTGATAGAATAATGTCTGAAATAAAACTAACCTTGCATCACATGAATTGTTGTATGTTGAGGGACTATTTTCTCATATATCAGTCCGCCACTGCCAAGCTTTCTATCAAGAAGTACAACTTGCTGCTACTGTTCAGACATAAATCCTTCAAAGGTTGGTTTTAATTCTAAAATTTAAATTAGAATTAAAACATATTCTATTGACACGGACATTTACATCGACAGTCTGGTGTAATTAGTTATAGTAAATAGTTTTGCTTTGGGTGTTTTGTGGAGTGGGTAAGACTGTTTTTAGTGGCAGGATAACTATGGCCATTGACATGCACGAGCCTAACACCAGCGACCTCTGCATATACAAGGACTGGATGGAATATTTTAAAAAGTGTCTCCACACGTCTCCAACACTCTGGCTCACTAGGAAATGAGGTCCTATGTCCAAAATTATGAACTGTCCCTTTAAAATTAAATATTCTTGGCGCTGAGGTTTTTTGTGCAGGTTTGGCCTGAACTGCCTGGACAATTTCAAAGAGATTCTTCGGACAGATGAAAAGTGCGGTGGGTCACGACGGCTTCCTGGTCTGGACCCTGGACATGCCTCTGGACTAGCGGATTAAAGGAGGCTTCTTGGTGCCCGAGGTCAGGAACATATCCCTGTTTCTGAATGTACTTGTCCTTGTGTTCTATCAGTGACTCAGATGCTTTAGGCGAGAGCCGCATTGTTTGGTTTATTACACTGCATATCTGCTAGACCTCCTCATTTGTGCGGGAGGATTGGTCTTTTATCACAGAAGGCCAGTCTTGATGAGTTTTCGTGCTGAGTGAAAAGGTGCTCACCTCGGATGCTTACATGCGCATAAAAGAAAATCCAGACTCTTGCATTAGATTTGATTTATATTCTAATAGACTTTTGAAGAACACAAGAATATAAACATGTTCATAGGGCTTCTTGAATGTAAACCGATGAATACATGTGTGACAGAGACCCCTTGTCCTTGGGTTGTAAAGATTTAACATTTGAACTGTGTTTTTACTTTTCAGTTCACTGCCTTAAGAGTATTTACCTCTTGTATGTACAGCAGATAAATATATTTTTCCATTGGGGTATTAACATGGAAAAGTCACATGCAAAGAAATCAAACCGTAGTCTAAACGATGTTATGTGCAATAATGAAGTAATATTGGACTTATTCAGTTTGGATTTGACTAAAGCTGTGCAGGTGAACCACCGGGCACCCTCTCTCTGCTATAACATCACTGAGGCAAACTTCTACAGTGGGCAGCTGGCCGACGCCTACGGCCTGGACGTCTTAGACCTTCACTTCCACTTCAGGTCTGCAGCACCACATGCCCGATGGGGTGCACTGGGACGCCGTGTCCCATCACTTTAGCAGCACACTTATGCTACTGCCCATGGCCCAGGCCTGGGGAGTCATCCTCAGGGTGGACTCTTCTACCTCTGCCCCCCAGCTCCACCTCCTCCTGTTGGCTTTGCTGCACTGGGTGAAGAACAGTCCTGAGTTAGCACTTGTTTAACAAAGCAATGATATCACATAGTGTTATTGTGGGTAACTGTTCATGTTTTTGTGCCCAAGAGAAAACTGTGCAAAGCCAAACTGAGGTGTAGTCCCTCCTCCCCGTCCTCCTCCTCCTCTGCTGGGCCCAGGTCAGTGATTTGTCTTTTTCTGTTAGCAGCTGGAATAAAGGAAATCATGAAAATCATGTTCTTTGGCAGAGCCAGGACATGGTCTGTGGTGTCCTCGACACACAGACCTGCAGGTAACACACTCGACACACTGACTGACACACGCATTTTAATGATGACTTTTTTCAGTGGGAGCCCAAAATAACACTTAATTGATAGCACTTTTAAAAGTACTTTTGGACTTGTAACATAAACACAAGTGACACCAGGCCACAGTGACACAGTTTCAGATTAAATACACTAAGAAATCATAATTGGACACATTGGAACATTTTCCATCTTCTTTTATGACTGATGCTATATACAGTCAATGTTTGTTATGTTATAGTGTTCAGACAGAACCAGTAGAACTAATCCAGGTCCAACCGAGGTCTAAGAAAACATACTGACACTGGGTTCAGAATCACCTAAGGCTGCAGATTTCCGACAGATAAATGTTCAAATAATTTAAAAAAGATAATTCCTTTTAATGATGCATTATCTAGCAGGGCATAGAACAAACTGCTGCAGAGGATGATCATTTATCTTATGATATACTCTATTCAAGTTATTAAAAGAGAAAGGAAAAGGGAAAATGCTGTGAGCTCAGGAAGGCCACAGTGTGCTGCTTTAAAATGAGATTGATTGTATTGTTGTCTAAAAATCCCACTATTCATTTGTTTGTCCCTGAGGCCTGGCACTGTCTGTGTGTGGGTCTTGGTGGATAAGCACTTTTCTGAGCTGTTAAACCCCAAAGAGTGTGTGGAATCTTGTGCACATGATTTTGACATTATTGCTCTATTAATCCTAGATACAGCAGATCTCTGAATGTGGACGGAAAAATCCTTCAGACCCCCGTTTTTTGAGACCCCCAGTTGAGACCCCCAGTTGAACTTTGACAAGGTTATCTCTACTTTTCTTTTGCACTTGGCAATCAGGCTGCCCTTTCACTAAGGCCTCATGATTGCATCAGGATAGTAATCAGCAGTTATTCACTGTGGCCCCGCCCCTTCCCCTTCAATATAACTATAACTGACAAAGAGGCAGCCACAGCCACACAGCATCATCAGCCGTGCCTTTTTATTACATGTAGTGTGTGTGATAGAAGGAACACGTGCATTGTGTCACCATAAGACGTATTTCATCGACAAATATGAATGTGTAGCTTTTGGAGGTTAGTCATTTATCAGCTGTTTTTCTGACATTTGATTGGATAATGTTGCAATGATTGTGAGAAAAATTTGTAGTTTTACCATCATTCACGACTATTGACGTCATGATTAAACAATAGGAAATCCTTTGTTTTCTTTCATTCACATGTCTAATGACTTTCTAAATTCAGACATTTTGAATCATAAAGTTATTGTGACATAAACAGACAGCAGAGGTGGGGACTTGCAAGTCGTGACTTGGACTCGAGTCAGACTTGACAATTTTTAGGACTTGAGACTTGACTTGTTAAAATAGACTTGGGACTCGACTTGGACTTGAAGGTCAGTGAGTTGTAACTTGAGAAGACTTGATGCCTCTGCTAAAAAAACATATGTTTGCGCCCACGGTCTCTTCCTATTTGAACATGTCAGCTAACGCGTTTAATGTCCAGTTATACTGTATATTCACTCTATGAGCCCGTCTTACAATAACTATTATAAAGAAAAGAGTGCGTGCAGTCTGAGCACAACATAACCTCCTCTACATCTGTGTATGTCGTGACTTAGCAGTGTTCCCTAAAACAGCTTTTAATTTACTTCCAAATGCGCCTCACTCCAATTAGCTTTAGTTTAAATTCAACTCCTTCAGTCCAAATCCCGCCTGTGTCCCTCGAGCTTCTCCACAGTGAATATCAAACAGGCCTTTTCTATATAAAGTATGCATCTTGTCTGCCTCTGCTTCACTATTGATGAAGTTAGTCACCTCTTTTATCTGTAGGCCTGATACAATTTCTATGTAACAAATGCAAAGTCGTGAGTGCGCTGAACACTGTAAATGTGGCGGCCCCCTGAGCAGAAGCAGCAGGTGCAGAGTGTCTGGTGAGACTGAGCCTGCGTCCACTGACAGGCGCGCTCCAATAGTGAATCAGTGAATGTGTGTCTGCTTTGTGTGATGATGGAATATTTCTGTTGGCATAGAAACGTGTTGTGTAGTTTTGGTTTTGTTCTCAGCTTGGGACTTTGCATATTTATTCTTTAAACTTCAAAA